TCCATATTTTGAAAAGCTCAACTTTTCCAGCTTTGCATCAATGATGTACGCATTAATAGGTATCATCTTCATGTCCCTTATGATACTCCTACTAATAGGATACTCCAACATCACTAAAATCAACTCTTCATATACTTGGCCTATTTATATCCTCAAATTGATTTTCATCTTATTTACCACTATACTCTATTTGCCAATACTTGACCTTTTTTTTCAAATACTTAATTGTCACTATGACGATAACAATAACCTCATAAATGTGGTATTTAATAACACATGTTGGTAAGGTTCCCATGTTATTCATGGAATCGTAGCCATACTGGGAATTGTTCTCTTCGTTGTTATAACCATGACTTTTAATTTGCTATACTTTGAGCCAAAATATAATCATAAGGATCAGTTGTCCAAGACTTCTGGAAGAGCCAAAACCTTTAAATTCTTTTACTTCCTCATTTTGGAAATCTCCTTTGTATTAATAGATTTAGATCAATTTGACTATGTTGCTATCTATATCATTTTAATAGGAGCATTTGTGACTTTTTACAAGTTACACATAGAACAACCTTTTAACCATGTTGCTATGCAAAAGATTTCATCCGTGTATGCAGCCCTAATGTTATGGAGTGCTCTATTGATATGTTTTTCTCATTATCTAGAAGACATCATATTTCATGGTACCATCTATGCCTGGCTCATTGGTCTACCTCTTATTGCATTTGCTATATCGAAAAAGGAAAAGTATCTTTATGATCTATTATTAATGAATATCAATAAAACAGAGGATCCAAATCAAATCATATTACTAACCAACTATATCTAAAAATTATTATCAAGATATCAAAATAATTAACACTTTAACATTATGTTGGATGCACTTATTGAAGTACACAAAAATACTTGCTAAAAAGAGGACTGTGTTTTCAGGATAAAAAAACAATTAAACTAAAGATTGGTAAAATTAAAGGATGAAAATATTTCTCATAGGGATTATCAAATACATTTACTCCTTGGAGAGATATATCAAGGATACATAAGAAGACATTAACATAACGTGAGATTAAGAATTAATTATGCTTTTTATTTACTTGATTTTCTGAAATAAAAATAATAATCTTTAAATGAATTTAATTAAATCGAGTTGCTCTCTCCTAGTTTAGATAACGAATTTATAATTTTTAGATACAAGAGGATAATTGAAGATGAAATGAATATAACATAAAATGAAACAATTAGTGGTAACTTAGACGTTGCAACAGAGTTAACATTCTAAAATAATATGAGATAATTTTAGAATAAAATAGAGAGAGCGACATTAATGCATATGGACTTTTGGTCATAATTATAGGAAGATTAACCTGATTTGGGTAAAATGAATGAAATTGGTTCAAAAATCAATTTAGCAATTATTTAAGTTGAAGAATTATGGAATAAAATTTAAAAGATGACTTAAAATTTACCTAAGGCTATGAGATTATATGCTAAATTTATCATTGAAGTACTCCAAGATAAAGACTTTGGAGAGGAATTATTAGAAAAATCTAAAATACTCTAAGCTTAAAATAATAAGATGAAAAACAAATAAACTATTTAAGTTTTTAGCAGTGATGATATTAATTTTGAGCCATTGCCTACTTTGTTAGTATCGACATCATCAGATAAATTTGCTTAAATAACTAATTTAAATTTAAGCGTTTGCAATTTGTTTGGTTATCACAAAACAGAATTGATTAATCGGAAAATAAATTTGTTGATTCCCCAAGTCTATGCTAAGTTTCATGATAATTACATGGAAATGTTTATGTAGAGCAACGATCAACAAAAACTTATGAAGGAGAGATTAGTTTACATAAAATTAAAGTCAGGATACATTCTCCCCTGTTACTTGTATATGAAGGTATTACAATCATTTGATGACAATATTTTAATTGCTGCTTAGTTTAGGACCTTACGAACATTTAAAGTAGGATGCTATTTAATTCTTGATAGTGATGAAGTAATTGAAAGTATCTCCTCTTCTTGCATTTGCAACTTGTTTGTAGATTAAAAGATGATAAGTCATAGAAAGATCTATTTTCATGAGCTTTTTCCAAATTACAACAGAAATGAATATTTAAATAAGACAGGCTGTGTCATTAGTTTTAATTTGCAATCAAATATAGTATCAAATTCAAATTACCTATAATATTATATTAGTGACTTAGAAGATTAGACCTAGATTTTATTTCAAATATAAATTACTGAAATTTCAAATGAGCATCAAGATTAAGTGATGGGCTATGTGATAAAATTAGAGAAAGTATCAAATGAATAGAGTTAAATTTTAAGTCCTGATATACAGCAATAATTGGTAGTACCAAATACACATGTGAGTAATTTTTAATTCAAGTATTTCCCTTCTAAGGCCTTATATATTGGTGAGAATCAAGAAGAAGGAAACTCAGCTAGGGTTGATCAAACTGTAATTTGGGAGTAATCATCTAGATTGAGTGAAGAAACACAAGCTGAGAAGAAGGAAAAGGTTGAAGAAGTGAAGGTAGAAAAAATAAATTATGCAGAAGGAATAAGAACATTAAAATTATTTGATAATAGGATTTAAGATATTGAAGATATTAGAATGAGCTTTTCTGATTCTGATGAAGTTCAACATTCAAGTGTGTTTTAAAAGAATTCAGATAATCCAGACGAAATTGAGTAAGGTTAAAGGAATAATGTATTTAGAAATAGAAAAGCATTAAATTCTACAATAAATGATTAATAAAGACCATAAGTCATAGTTTATTTAAGTTGGGCCATCAATATATTGATGATAACTGTACTAACCTTGTCATTTACATCCTATTTTTTAGGATTGTTTTTGTTTGAAAATATTCAAAATTCATTGAACCTTATCAATTACGTAAGTTTGAGAAATCAAGAGTGTAGTCAGATCGTGATGAATGTATAGAATTTGGAAATGCTCAGGATAGGAATCTGGAATATGACTGAAACTGAAGCTATTGCATATGAAGAAGAATAAAGAACTGAATTGAATAACTCAATTTTTGCATTAACAGATGCAAATAAAAAGATTATGTTGGATGATCTTTACATCAATGAAGAAATTGAAGAATTGCATTCCAAAAGTGTTGTGAATGTCAGGATTTCAAAAACCAGTTTTTCTAATTATGACTTAATTGAAGCCACCTAATAAATAATTAGTAAAGCACTTTTAGTCAGAGATAAACCACTAAAAAGTATGACTTTAGATGATGAGGATGCTACATTTATTACTTATAATCTACAGAATGGAATTGTGTTTTAATTTCGAAATGAGACAAATTAATATTCATATGGAATAAATAATCTGTCAGGGCAGAATGTTGAAATCTTTTTTATTTTTATGATTGTGTCAGCCTGTGCCTTTTTCATATTATTAATAATACTTGTTATGTTTATTTTCTAGATAAATTAGATTTAAGAACAAATATTGTAATTGTTTATGGAAATCCCAGAAAAAACTGTTAAATATTTGTATAATAAAAGTGAAAATTTTATTTCAAATCTGTAAGTTGGAGAAGAGGAAGAAGTATCTTCTGATTTAAGTGATGAAGAATAGGATGAACATAAAGAACTCAGCAGAACCCTCAAATCAAAGAGGAAAAGGAAAATCTTTAAAAATACAAATTCATTCCACCGCTCTCAAATTATAATAATCACATTTATACTTGTTATCTTCTAAGGATATTTCTTATTAAATTATTTTCTAAATCAAGTTACTTATAATAACTTGAAGTAGTAGATCCCCGAATTGAATGTTACAGCCAGATGCAGTTCCTTTTATAGATTTGTTGATAATTGCGAAAGGTAACTATTTCTCAACCCTAATGAACCGATCCTTCTAGAGAATGCATACTAAGTAGTGATGGATAATATACAAAAAAATTATGAAATTGACTCAGATTTGCATTAGGAACATGCTAAAAATTCAGAAATACAGAATTCTAATTACTATGACACATTCTAATAAATTTTCATGTTAAATCCTTGCGATACTTTTGTTTAAAATGGATATACGACAATTGAATTTTGTGAATCATTTGCAAATGGGTCAATCGAGTAAGGGATGGCAGTAGCAATAGCAAGATATTTTGAGAATGTCAGATACATAATGACAATATATGACATGTTTAATGGACACCCTGAAGTGAATTTTAGTGTTGCTGCTAGAGGTTGGGGAAGATTTAGAAACATAACTAATGACTCTGATAATGTAACCAACTATATCTATAATTTGAACAATTTCAAACAGACCAGTGAATCGCGCATTATGTAGAATGTCTTTATAAAAGGTAAAAGAATAAGATAATTTGCATAGCTGCTTTTAGATATTTACTTGATGAATTCTTGACAGCCTTGAAATACGACATTGAAGTAACCTAAACTTAGTTATTGGCAGTATTCATAGTATTCGAAGTTCTGATATTTTTTGTGTATTTCATAGTCTGGCTACCAGCTTAAATGAAAATGACAAGAGACATTTGGAGAACAAAGGGATTGATAATGATGATTCCGTTGCGTGTGATTTAGAAGATTAAAACTATCAAAGATTTTATTGGCATATTGGTCCACAGTTAAGATAAGTGAGATATAATTATTAATAATTAAAAATGGAACTAAACTCCAAAACTTCAAATTCTTAGTAATCAGAAATATGAGAGACAAAAAGAAACACTATATAAAGGACTCTTTTTCAGATTTATCCAATTAATTTTTGAAACTTTAAGGTATAACTTATAATGGCTTCTGATTAATATGCATGATCACTAATATCCTCTGTTATCTCAATATTTGGAAGGTCTACAAAAATGAAATCATAACACATCATCTCAACATCAAATTGATTATTTATAAATTTATCATCTGTCTGCATGAGATTTGAGAATTTTATAAACTGTTATTGAAAATAAATAGTTTGAGTATTCTACGTCGAAATATTAAAATGATCAATTATTTTTATTAAGATGAATAATTTTCATAAATTTGATAGATCATTATTGACAGTTGACATTTCAGGGGCTCAACCAAAATAGAAGAGTTCTTACTTAGACAAGATCATTCCATATGATATTCGCTAAGCAAATAACACTAAATTGCAGTTAATCTCTGACTCTAACATTTTCTAGATATACAATTCCTAAGTAAGATCCTCAATATGGACGTAGAAGATATCAGCATGACTTCCATCATTTCAACAATAGTTGTGTTCCTTAAGGAGATAATTATTTTGATGGTTCGCATAAAAAGCATTACAACTTACAAGAAGGAGAAATCAAATAATATCGAGCCTTAGAGAATTATTATGATTAACCTAAGTATTATCATATAATATCAGGAAATCTATAAGGGGATAGATTGCTGGCTACCAATGATATAGAAGGAGCTATTCCTGCGACATCCACAAGCAAAGTCGTAAAAAATCAAGAGAAGGCCTAAAAGATCAGACAAGAAAGAGATCACTTGAGAGCTCAAAATAACAAGGCCCTCTACCTTTCTCAATTAGAATCCAAAATAGACTATTAACCTGAGGTTGAATAAAAAGCTCAAAGGATTAAATCATATTCTATTTAACCTACTCATGAAAATTAAATATTTGAAAACAGAGTCACTGAACCTTCCTAGCCTAAATATGAATACATGAATAAGCCTTTGAAACTTCCACCAATCCTGGCAAGAGAAACTCCTGTTAATGTCAATCCAATATCCAACAAATTGTAATTGCACTCAAATTAAAAAAATTATCTTCTACATGATTATGACAAGACTTTGTCCATGTTACAACAAAATTTACCAACGAGATTGTTTGTATGAACATATTGGATTATTTGTATAATCATATTAAACTACACGATTTTATATTCAAATAGAATCTTTGTTGGAAGATCACATGGTTTTTATTTATTTCAAATTATTTCTTTATTTCTGTATATTCAAAAATTTTATGAAGTATTAAATCAATATATGTGTAAAATGTTATTTATAATTTGAAAATACACAGAAACTAAGAAAAATTGTAGTGTTAACATTGATTTCATTTGTTAATTTTATAAATTTAATGTTAAAATAATTAGAAGATGCTCTCATAAAATTAGAAGTATATAATAATTATTAATAAGGAAACTTCACATAATAGCTTGAAAGTACTTGAGAAAGAGAGACAGCACAGAATCAAGATCACTAATGAAATTGAATAGACTTAGTAGGAATTAGAGGAAATACTGAATAATGAAGAATAAATGATAAGAAACATCATAGCTGTTGAATTGGAGAAACCCGTTCAAATTGGAACCAAATTTCAAGCGAAATTAATCAAACAAATAGAAGTTGCCAAATTCAAACATGTGGAAAGAACAAATATGGTAGATGAATTATTAGAAACTAATACAAATTTAAGAATGGAATTACATTTATTAGAGAAGTAGTTATAAAGATCTTAAGCCTAAGTTTAAGATTTTGGTAATTAATTAAGTCAAAAATAAACTGAATTCCTGGATTTGTAGATTTTATAAGTAGCTAAACACAAGGAATTGAAAGAATTAGTGGAGGAAGTATAGGAAATGAAGGAATTGTTATAAAAGGTTAAGGAAATACAATTTACATTGAATAAAGTAATTGGAAAGAATAATAACAATGCTAATAATAACAATGAATTCAGCAAAACAAATTCAACTGAAGAAGCATTCAAATTAACTTAGTCAAAACGATCCGTCAATGGAAACTCTTTGAATAATGATTATTAACAAGATAAAAATGAAGAATTTTGGTATACACTACCTCCTACTCCACCTTTAAAGCTGCCCAGAATAAAATGATGATTTCATATAAATTATTTTATCATTTTCCAAGAATATATCCAATTACTAATGCAATTATTACTACAATTAACGCTTGTCTTGTATTTATTGCATTTGATTCTTAATATATATATTATTAACAAATACCTTTCTTTGATAAATTATTGAATTAGTCTTGCTAAATCTTTTATTTGAAGACTTGATACTCTTGAGACTATACAATATATATGTTATTACTAATTTTTCATATTGATCTTTATATTGATTCAATAATTCGTCTTTTTAACTATCTTCTTTGATGGATTTAAACATTCTTGATTCAGAATGAGATGAGTTAAAAATACTTGATTCTAAAATCTTAGAATCCCCAGTGATTTGTTATTGCTATTGTTATTGTTATTGCTATTGATTCTATTGATCTTGAGGATTTTGATATTTCATCCTGCTTCTAAGTTAAAATGTTTGTATCGTTGATTGATCTCTGCTTCTCCAAAATTAATTCAAATCTCATTTAGATTCACACAAAGTACCTTATTCATTTGAATCCCTAAAACAAGCATTTATTTAAAATTTAGCATCCAACTTTTAATCTTATCCGATTGCTTAAGTTGTAGATATCTCCACAATCGTTGATCGATCGGCCTCTATAAAACCAACACTGGGTTTTACTTAAAACATTTAGGGAACTGTAGTTTTAATCTAAACTCATCAAAAGATCACTTACTTTAAATGCAACAGGTTGTGACTATAAATTTTGTAGTGTTAATTAAGCATGAGCAAATCTATTCTCTTCAGCCATAAATTCCAATATAATTTTAGGATCTGTCTCAATTATTCCTTACATTGTTTATTAAAATTTTGAAAAATAATAATTATAATTATTCTTTCACCTTAATAAATATGTTATATTTCTTATTACCTTGATCTATTGTAAACTCTCAAAATAATAGAATTCCATTAATTATAATTCTTTAAAGTAATAATTCGAATATACATTAATAAAAATATCAAATTGTAATAGAATTCGAAAATGTATAATCTACCATTCTGTCCAATTCACAGCTATTAAATCCTTAATTTACTAGAATTAAGAGCCCACGATGCAAGGCTAATTTGTGGCAGCTGTCTTCTAAATTTAATTTAGACAAAAAAAATTGGAGATGTTAGGAATATTGTGGATCTTATCTAAGTGAAAAAATCAATAATTTTAGATTCATGATCATCCAGAAAATACCTTTTAATTTACAGATTTAAGAGATAAAACAGTTTTAGCTCAATTTTTATATGATTAAAAAATACAAATGAATCTGATAAAAAAAAAAATTGAATAGTTGTTAGATGAATTGGCAATATGGTAATCAGAATTAGTGTAATAATAAACTAATTTAATTAATGTATTTAGATATTATAATATTAGGTAATTAAAAAAGATGAATTTAAATCAATTTTTTAATAACTTACGAATCAAGATATAGGTGTTAAGAATGAGGTCATCTAGGAGTTACAAAATAAATTTTATAATTATTTTAAATCTATAGAAGTGATGAACTAAGTGTCTACATAAAAAGATTTAGAAAGCTTGGACTAAATTTATGATAATATAAACAAAAAGTAATTTATTGTATTTATTATAGAATTATTAAAAGCGGAAAATTCGAAGAACTATTTCAGTTAGTCGGTAATACTGAAGTGGATTATTTATAAATAGCGAACCCTTTTACCCATTTAATAATGAATACTATTTAAAAAAATGTTAAGAGATAAATTATATAAAAATAGCCAATTTATAATAGTAAAGAAAATGGATTAACATTTAATGCAATTAAGGCTGCAATAGTTGGAAGGTAAAACTTGCTTTGGTTTTTTAAATCATCAAATAATTAATGTACTGAGTTTGGTGGTTATACTCCATATGGTTGGTAAGATGAGAATAAGCCTTATGGAGCAACCGTATCAAATCCTTCATTTTTATTTTCAAAGACTTTAAAATAAATTTACCCAATAATCTTATTTAGGGGAGGTTTTGCTTAATAGTTTGTTTAGTCAAGTTATATTTTGTTTGGTGGTACTTGTAATGGCGATGAAGATTTACGAATAAATCCTGATTTCAAATCAGGGTATTCTAGATTGGGAGTTACATATTAAGCCCCTGCAGGCGTTGACACTACAAAATATTCAACACATCTATTTGGGGCACTAGCACCAAATGTTATTGAATGTGAGATTTATTAAATATTTTTTGAGTGACATTAAATTAAATTGATTTATTCACCTTATTGAAATGGAATATTTGTCCTCCTAGCAGTTATATGCACTTAAACTGTTTTGCATAGGTTGTAGATATCTCCACAATCGTTGATCGATCGGCCTCTATAAAACCAACACTGGGTTTTACTTAAAACATTTAGGGAACTGTAGTTTTAATCTAAACTCATCAAAAGATCACTTACTTTAAATGCAACAGGTTGTGACTATAAATTTTGTAGTGTTAATTAAGCATGAGCAAATCTATTCTCTTCAGCCATAAATTCCAATATAATTTTAGGATCTGTCTCAATTATTCCTTACATTGTTTATTAAAATTTTGAAAAATAATAATTATAATTATTCTTTCACCTTAATAAATATGTTATATTTCTTATTACCTTGATCTATTGTAAACTCTCAAAATAATAGAATTCCATTAATTATAATTCTTTAAAGTAATATATTCGAATATACATTAATAAAAATATCAAATTGTAATAGAATTCGAAAATGTATAATCTACCATTCTGTCCAATTCACAGCTATTAAATCCTAAATTTACTAGAATTAAGAGCCCATAATGCAAGGCTAATATGTGGCAGTTGTCTTTCTTAATCTAATTTAGACATAATAAATTGTAGATGTTAGGAATATTGTGGATCTTATCTAAGTTAAAAAATCAATAATTTTAGGTCTATGATCATCCAGAAAATACGTTTTAATTTACTGATGTTAGAGAAAAAACAGTTTTAGCTCAATTTTTATATGATTAAAAAATACAATTCAATTTGATAAAACAAAAAATTGAATAGTTGTTAGATGAATTGGCAATATGGTAATCAGAATTAGTGGAATAATCAACCAATTTACTTAATGTATATAATTATTATATTATTAGGTAATGAAAAAAGATGATTTTAAATCACTTTTTTAATAACTTACAAATCAGGATAAAGGTGTCAAAAAAGAGGTCATCTAGGAGTTACAAAATAAATTTTATAATTATTTTAAATCTATAGAAGTGATGAACTAAGTGTCTACATAAAAAGATTTAGAAAGCTTGGACTAAATTTATGATAATATGAACAAAAAGTAATTTATTGTATTTATTTTAGAATTATTATAAGCGGATAATTCGAAGAATTATTTCAGTTAGTCAATAAAGCTGAAATCGATTATTTATAAATTGCAAACCCTTTTACCCATTTAATAATGAATACTATTTAAAAAAATGTTAAGAGATAAATTATAAAAAAATAGCCAATTTATCGAAGTAGAGAAAATGGATTAACATTTGATGCGATTAAGAATGCGATAGTTGGAAGGTAAAACTTGCTTTGGTTTTTTAAATCATCAAATAATGGGTGTACTGAATTTGGTGGATATACTCCATATAGTTGGTAAGATGACCGTAAGCCTTGGGGAGCAACTGTCTCAAATCCTTCATTTTTATTTTCAAAAACTTTAAAATAAATTTACCCAATAATCATAGAGAGGGGAGGTCTTGCATAATAGTTTTCTTAGGCAAATTTTATTTTGTTTGGTGGTACTTGTAATGGCGATGAAGATTTACGAATAAATCCTGATTTCAAATCAGGGTATTCTAGACTGGGAGTTACATATTAAGCCCCTGCAGGCCTTGACACTACAAAACATTCAACTCATCTATTTGGGGCACTAGCACCAAATGTTATTGAATGTGAGATTTATTAAATATTTTTTGAATGAGACATATTTATAGGAAATTTAATAATATTTTAAAAAATTATATTTCTGTTTCCAAGTTTTTTGATGGCATGCTTTTTATTATTCAATTGATTAATTAACCTTATTGAATTGGATTATTTGCCTTCTTAACAGTTACATGACCTTAAATTGTAAAGCTAAATTGAATGAATTATAAGAATATCCTATTGCATAGGTTGTAGATATCCCACAATCGTTGATCGAACGGCCTCTATAAAACCAACACTGGGTTTTACTTAAAACATTTAAGGAACTGTAGTTTTAATCTAAACTCATCAAAAGATCATTTACTTTAAAAGCAATCGGTTGTGACTATAAATTTTGTAGTGTTAATTAAGCATAGCAAATCAATTCTCTTTAGTTATAAATTCCAATATAATTTTTGGATCTGTCTCAATTATTCCTTACATAGTTTATTAAAGTTTTGAATAATAATAAATATTATTATTCTTTCACCTTAATAAACTTGTTATAATTCTTATTTCCATTATCTATTGTAAACTCTCATAATGTTAGAATTCCATTAATTATAAATCTTTAAAGTAATATTTCGAATATTCATTAATAAAAATATCAATTAGTAATAGAATTCAAAAATGTATAATCTACCATTCTGTCCAATTCATAGCTATTAAATCCTAAATTTACTAGAATTAAGCGCCCATAATGCAAGGCTTATTTGTGGCAGCTGTCTTCTTAATTTAATTTAGACATAATAAATTTCAGATGTTAGTAATATTGTGGATCTTATCTAAGTTAAAAAATCAATAATTTTAGGTCTATGATCATCCAGAAAATACGTTTTAATTTACTGATGTTAGAGAAAAAACTGTTATATCTCAATTTTTAAACGATTAAAAAATAAAAATGAATTTGATAAAACAAAAAATTGAATAGTTATTAGCTGAATTGGCAATATGGTAATCAGAATTAGTGTAATAATAAACTAATTTAATTAATGTATTTAGATATTATAATATTAGGTAATTAAAAAAGATGAATTTAAATCACTTTTTTAATAACTTACAAATCAGGATAAGGGTATTACGAATGAGGTTATCTAAGAGTTACAAAATAAATTTTACCATTACTTTTAATCTATATAATCTATAAACTAAACGTCTGCATAAAAAGATTTAGAAAGCTTGGATCAAATTTTGGAAAATATGAACAAAAAGTAATTTATTGTATTTATTTTAGAATTATTAAAAGCCAAAAATTCGAAGAATTATTTAATTACATCAATAAGGCTGAAATAGATTATTTAAGAATTGCAAACCCTTTTAACCATTTAATAATGAGTACTATTTCAAAAAATGTTAAGAGATAAATTATAAAAAAATAGCCAATTTATAGAAGTAGAGAAAATGGATTAACATTTGATGCAATTAAGGCTGCCATAATCAGCAAGGAAAATTTACTTTGGTTTTTTAAATCATCAAATAATGGTTGTACTGAATTTGGTGCATTTACTCCATACATTTGGAATGATAGCCAGTATTCTGGAGCAACTGCAGCAAATCCTTCATTTATATTTTCTAAGACTTTATCATAAATTTATCCAATTAAATAAGCTATGGGAGCCTGTACACATTATTTTTCTTTAACATAATATCTTATATTTGGAGGTACTGGCAATAGTGATTAAGATATACTAATAAGACCTGATTTCAAATCAGGGTATTCTAGATTGGGAGTTTCATACCAAGCCCCTTAAGGTCTTGATACCTCAAAAAATTCACCACATCTATTTGGGGCTCTAGAACCAAATGTTATTGAATGTGAGATTTATTAAATAATTTTTGAATGAAATTAAATATTATAGCATGTTTGATGATAAATTGAAATTTCATATTTCTATTTCCAAGTTTGTTGATTACATGTCTTCTTATTGTTTAATTAAATTGATAGATTAGCCTTATTAAATTTTTATTGCCTTAGCAGTTACATGACCTTAAATTGTACTCTAATTAAATTACTGATTGATAAATTTTATTGTAAAGTTTGGTACTAAATATTGAATAAATTTTACACTTAAAATAAGTTCATATTAAGGCAAATCTTAATCAGCCATTTACTATATTTGAAAAAACACTTTACAATGTCATTATAATGTTTGTGAGTTAAGCCTCTTTTATATATGAGAATTATATTCCTATGAAACTTGCATTTAATCATCTGGCCAAAATCAACAAAAGGTAATCAATCTTTGCCAAGTCAGCGAAATTACCTTCCTCTTTTGTGAATGTAAACATGTTCATATTTTAATTGATCATAGCTTTGTCAAATATCTTCAGATTTGGAGATGAAGTTCTCATATAAAATGAATTTTTGCCACATTATTTTGGAATGAATACCTTTATCTTATTCTTTAAATCATCACATCCTTTCTATGAAAAAAAAGTCAATTTCCCCTTGCATCTAAAAGCTTTTGAGTTTAATTTCTAAAACTATTATATAATTTTATTGATTATAACTATGAAATTGCTTCAAAAAAAGTTAGATTGATTGATCAAAATCAATCGTTATCTTATTCTCTTTCACCATAACCTCCTTGCCTTCATAAAATCTTTCAATTCCAAATTTCTATTTTTAAGCCATTTCCTTGATCTCGTTAAGCATTTTTTTTACTTCTAATTAAAGGAAGTCATTTATTTATTTTAATTAAAAATCTTTTGATAATGAGTTATCCTATGGATCACTTTGTATAATTGTTATACTTCGATAACTTAGAGCATTTGGAAAGTGGTTAGAACCAAACAAGATAGAAAGTTAAAGAAGGAAAGGTGTGTGATGAAATCATATTTTAATCACTTGTCAAAGTCTAGTTGATCAGAATTGTCAAACCAGGTTATAATGTGCATTAGAATCTCAAAAAATTAATTACAATTACTCAAAGCGAAGAGCCTATACGTAATTTGGAGATTTTTGCTAAATCATATTAGACCAACAAACCATAATCTAGATATCAACTTCTCTTTGGAAGTCCTGAAATCTCTTCCAACAATTGTGATATCCTCATCACACTCGAATAGCCAGTATTATTTTATATATTCTCATTATAGTAAATCACCGATTTTATTGTGTTTAGAGGACAATATAAACGACTTACAATTTGCATGTATGGTGAAATCATGTCAGGACAATCGATTCAAAGTTACAATCCTACTTATGGTAAGAATATTGGATTACAGGAGTTGAATGATGTAATTGATGCCAGAATTTAAAGAGTACGCGCAATTACTTAACCAGTTGATAACAAAATCTATTAGCAGATCATTAAGTAGAGGAATCAAGTTTTGGATCACATTTACAACCAAGAGAATTACCATTTATGTGTTGACAATATTCAACCATAATTATTACTTGAAGATAAACAGTTCAATTAATAGGAGTCATAAAAATAAATAGAAATATTGGCTAAGGAATTGAAATCAATAGATTAAGACTATGATTTTGTAGATAAGCAATTGGTGTCATTGTATCATGAGAAATTGGAATAAATGCATAGAGTTTTAACTAAACATTTAAAACATTCAAAGGCAGACATCCATTCAGCTGCGCATTTCAATGATGTTGATCGTATTTACAAATTGCTCCCTACTTCACTTGTGGATTCTGTGATCTTTGCAATCAACGCATCCTATTCTTCAGCCATAAGAGCATTTCCAATTATCATTTAATTATTCAGTTCAAAATACCATGCCTTATTATTTTTGGATAAGGGAGGCTTAAATAAGTTATTGGAATTTCTGATTGAGAAACAACAATCCCCCAGCTACTTCAAATTGAAGGTGATTGAGACTTTGTATAATTGTATGAATCATGTTGAATTTTGTAATGAATTGATTACTCGAAATGTGGAGATCAAAACACAAGATTCTGAGAAATCACCGAAGAAGAAGAAGAAAGTGAAGAAGGATAAAGAGAAGAAGAAGAAGGAGAACAAGGAGGGCAAGAAGAAGAAGAATAAGAAGAAGAGTAGAAGCAGGAGTAGGAGTAAGAGTAAATCGATAACTCAGGAGTAGCAGCAGTTTACAAGTGAATAAGTGAGCAATTTTAATGGGTTTCAACTGTTGGCTTATACGGCATCAAAAAACGAAGACGAGAAGATCGTTTAAGCATGTCATGTGGCTTTGAACAGATTGTAGATTTATGTGAGATTTAGGAAGTTGAAGAACATGATTGATTTGGTTTATTAGGGGAAATTGGCATTTACTGAGGATGGAACCATGGAGTTCTTAATGAATAATCTACCATATCAGTGGGAATTCGAGAATCTTGTGGGACTGGATTTGTTTCTGTTTGCTGTTTAGAAGGACTTTTATTGTGATAAGTAGAGGGAATTGATGTACTGTTTGTTTGATGCAGAGAAGACGAAGACTGCCAATTTTAAGTTGGTTAAGGAGATATTGTAGATGAAGGAATTATGTATAACATATGCAAATGCAATGTGGTTTAAGTAGATGTAATTTATGAAGTATATTGCTGCTATGATGGTGCTTGGTTAGAATTATAGTTAGTGTTGTTAGTTGATTTATCGCATCTTATAAATTAAGGGGGGCATAGTGGTTATTTGTCAGGAGACTACAGCCCTAAAGTTGATAATAAGAGTCTTAACCAAAAACAATGATATATAATTATTAAATTTAATAAAATCATCATTAGTTTTGATCAATTTAATGGATTAAATTTACATTAAACTATTAGGTTCTGATTATGATTATGAATTGATATCATTGTTAGGTTAATTGTAATAATACACTGAAGAATAAGATGAAATAACTCAGAATTGTGCAGCTGTTACTCATTTGATGAATAATGAATTCTTCAGTGAAGCCTTATTGTATATCATGTCAGTAACAAAGTTGGATGACATAATTGAACATGAAGTTGAAATTACAATCTAGTCTCATATCTTCATCAATAGTAAATTTTGAAAATAATCATAGTTCTAAGGTACAATGATACACATAATGGACTATTTTTGGCTGATAGACTTCTAGCCCCCAATGCTCGCTTTATTAAGTTCATCAACACAGAGAAATCCAGATTCAGCGCAGATTTTAGATTATCACAAATCCTATTATCTGGAGTATTAGAACCTTACGAATTATTTTTGGCCAAAGATACAACTAAAGCTATTAGGGAGTCCTTTCATGCTAAGTTGAAATTTGTTGCAATCAATCAAGATCCTGATAAGAATAAGTTGAAGGAATATTTTGGAGTGGGAGAACACAAGAAAGGAATTCATGAGGAATTGAAATCTGAATTTAGACTCTTGGGAACATTTGATTAACCTTATTAAAGTTTACAGTTTTTAGATGGAGCAATCAAAATATTTAAATGGTTGTGTGACTGTAATAAGTTTTATTTCATTCCATTCTTTGAACATGAAGTGATAGCAGGAGTGGAATGCTTTGCTGGAAAATTGATTAATTTATTTTCAGCCATGACTTCAAAAAACATATAAACTGAATATATGTTGATTAAGTTACCAAATTAATAGTAGATCTTGAGACATTATTTTGATCTCACTTACAATACTATAGAATTGATCTAAGAAAGATTGAAATTCAGAGTATAATTGGGCTGCGAGAGTTCATTCCATTCCAATGACTTATGTAAGATCCTCATCGATTTATGGGTGTCCTTATAAAAGGTCTAGCCTAATGGACTCAGAGGTTGCAAATAAAAAGTGGAAAGTTTATTGAACATTCTTAGGAATTGCTTCAATTATGTTATCACACTAAATTCATTCTAAGAAGAAGATAATGAACAATTGAAGATCCATGTTTAACAAGGGAATCAAGAGATCTAGACTTTATTTTAATCTTTGTATTTGTCAGCATTCAGAAACTAAGAAGAGTAAAAGTACATTCTGAATCTGATGCAATACTTGATTAAAGATAATTAAAATAAACCATAATTTAGCAATAACCTCTTCAATGTATTGTTTAAGCCAATGCGTAAAAATGATGACGAATTTGAAAATTACACAAAGAATGGAGACCTTGGATTTCTTATTGATACCATGGGAGAATAAAAATGTCTATAAAATCTGATGTAATCTTCTTTAAGAACATTCGATTCAACTTTGCAAAATGAAATGTTCAAAGTCTTAAGAAATCTATTGGAATTGTATGATCATAACATTTCATAGCATCTGTTCAAAATAATTGAAGATCAACTCAAGAATTATTCCAATAAAATTAAAGCCTTGGCCAAGAAGGAAGATCAATAACTCTATTTGAAATATCGATAAGATTGGGTACTTTTGGGATTATTCTTAACTCAAGCTATAGATATCTGTCTATGCAACTGCGGTTTCATGTACATATTTAATTATGAACATTTGAATGAAGACATGATCAAAATATACAAATTGATAGATGCTGAAAATGATTACTGTGACACGTAACCAACTGAGAAGGCTTATAAATTACTGATTGTAACATTGCGTAATCAAATTCTACAAATCTTCAAAAAGGCTGTAGATCATGAATGCGGTGTTAGTCAATTCTTATAATCGGAATCTCAATCCTACTAGTATTTAATCGAAGACATTCCTCATATCACCTATTTGTAGGATTTGCTTAAAAGTTTGGCTAAGAATTTAGTAAAGCATATTGAATACTCAGAAGATTCCAAAGAATACTATCATCTGAATTTAATATCATCTAAATTAATCATCGAGATCTTGGAATGTACTTCGAAGAACATCGTTGGTCAAAATATCCTCCTATATTCTGATTACACTTAAAATCCTTACAAAGCTAAACCTATTTTCTAATTGTATAGTATTGTAGATTTAGTTCAGCAATCTCTTCTCAATTACACCAACTTACCATTTCAGCCAGTCTACACAGCAATTATTGAACAATTCATCAGTTTACTATTCCGATTATTTGTATCTATATCCAATAATGTCATTCACCCAGGAGATGTAAGAAAAAGAGCCATTTAGACACTCTTGTTTAACAAACAGGAAAACATCGTTGATTTCATTACTAATCTTTCTAATTAACTGACCAACATCCCCTACTTCCTTAAACATTTAAAATTGCTCCAATACTTATTGAAATAAATCGAATCCAACAACAAAGAAATTAAGGATCAAAATGTAACATTGCCCAGTGAACCACGCTCACACTAAGTTGTCTTTTAATTAATACAAGAAAAGATTTAACAATAGCAATCTAAAGTAAAGCAACAGTAGGTCTTGAGTTCCTTCTTCAAATCAACTGTTTTGGAAGGTGATAAAATGTTGAAATACTAATCACTCACAGTAAGTGAAGTGACCCCATGGAAATTGGCATTTAAAGAATTGAAAAAAGAACCCCCAACTCAATCAAACACATTCTTATTCCCAGAAGTGCTCTATAGAGATAAAATTTTCAAGATGGTTCCATTGGAAATACCAGCATATCCAAAAACAATTATAAATGACATTATGTCTCTATAGATTAGACAACCCATGATTTCCAAGGATAGAATAGGGTTTGCCAAGATATCAACAGTTCAACCTACTTTAGAACAAATAAGACCTGCAGTTCCTATTCCTATTAGAACACCAACAGTGGAAGCTCCCCCTCCTCTTTATAAGCCAGAAATGATGTTCCCATTGTAGCAACCCAATGTGTAACCTCACCAAAATCCTATAAACAGCACTCCTGTAATTCCGATTCGGCCTTAAAATGCAAACAGCAATTACAATCTAGTAAATATATATGAAATACTTAATAGTTGGATTCGATAGCTCCTCCTGTTACTTTCCATCAATTGGAAGATCCACGACTTTCAAGAAGACAAGATTTTAATATGCATCCATTGTAACCGATTTAATAATAGAGTGGCATTCAGTAGCAACAATAATAGCAAATATAATAGTAATAGGCCATGCAACAACCCATCCATTAGCCTTATCCAATTCCTTAAATCCCCATGTATATGGTATTCAATTATATTTAATATGAAAGCCTTAAATGTCTGCTCAAATGGGCAGTTAATTACCTAGTCAGATGGCTCCTCCAATGTAATAAGTATAGCCTCCTTAAATCTAATAACAAATTCAACAGCCAGGTCTGCAATAACCTATGATGCATTTGCATCCCTAACACTCTATTTCGTAGCAACCGCCAGTGTAACAGCCATAAGTACAACAACAGCAGTAGCCAAATGAATTGGCAGAGTTGATTGCAATGATGAACGAATAGGAGAAGGCAATTCTGAGGGAGTTTTTGACTTCAAAGGATCCAAGAAAGTTGGAGTAGTTGGAATAGAAGAGAATTGAGTATCCGAGAATTGATTAATTTTTAATGGCGCTTTAACAATAACAAAAAAGGAGAGGCTAATGATAAATATATAAAAAACAAATTATTATTATTAAATTAAAATGTCTGAATAATAAAAGCAGCCAAATATTATCAATTACTTCTAGTAATACAAGTAGGGCATTCAGAATGCTTTCAAAATATTAGAAGAGGTAGAATTTGAAGTGCCAGAGGAAGAGGTGAAGCAAAAGGTTCAAAAACAGGTAATGTCTATGATCCAATGTTTAGATTGAAGATTAAGAATAACCGATTGAACCTAAATTCATTTCGCAAGCAGATATAAGGAGAGCGCTTGAGAATTTTGATAAATTAATTTGTTAATTATGATTAGTAACACCATTATATAGTGATCCAAAATAGTACAATTATCAATAATTAGTTTAAATTTCGAGTCAAATGATAGGACTAAGAGATAGACATAGATGAAGCATCAATAAATGTGGGATCAAATCAAGTTGTAATAGAAGGAGCGATTTGCGAGGTTTTAAGATTAGGAGATCCTGGAAAGAATACTAGAATTAGACTCTTAATTAAAAGAGGATTATGAATATAATTTCTAATTTTCAAGTGGCACTCAAAAAAAGACAATTCAAATCAAATATCACGATGTTTTAAAATTAAATCCACCCAATTATTTGAATGATGGAATTATAAACTTTTATTTAAAATTTATCGAGTTCGAATTACTCGATGAATCCTTAAGATCCAAAACCTACATTTTTAACACTTATTTTGTGGAGAAACTATGTCCCTTTGACAAATTGCAGACAATTTAATAGAATGACAATCATAGAATAAATGAACTCTTCAAACAATCCTATGAACACATAAAGAGATGGGTCAAAGAAGATTTGACTGAGAAAGAATATTTACTATTTCCCATCAATTTACCTGAGCATTGGTCTCTCTTGATTGCTCATAAATAAAGCAAATCTTTTTAGGATTCTGTTATCATATACTTGGATAGTTTTGGAATTATAGATTAAAAGTTAGTTACAATAATAAAGATGTATGACTATTCATATATACCTAAGGTATCTACATAAAATGCAATGTGATAAAATTTAATCTGATGTCAATTACAATGATTCTCCAATCAAACAAATCCCTGCCTATCAACTGTTAGTGCCTCGACAAGTGAATTATGTAGATTGTGGAGCCTTCCTTCTAGAATATGCAGAATCCTTCTTGTCCAATCCAAATTATCTCCTATCAGATTTCGAATCCCCAGAAGGCATTTACAAATTGAAACTTTTCCCAAGGACCCTTGTTAACAAAAAGAGACTTCTAATGAAACAGTTGTTGATTGAGTTAGTTGAATTAGGCAAGGAACAGGCTCTGGTCAATTACAAATAACGAAGATAGGAAATAATTGAAAGTTGCTGTAAATTATGAATGTATCCTAATATTAGATACAAATGAAGATGAATACGATAAGATAGACTAAGATTTGTTCAAAGAGTTCCTGAATCAGAAGAATTCCATAAGTGTGAACAGTGAATAGTAAAGATCTATGTTACTGGACTTCTACATGAATCCGCAATAAAATTATTATGAATAATGAGAGTGTAATTTTATCTTTATTATTATCATAATGATTAATTAAAAAACACAACAATACAACTAATATCATCTACAACCACATCATTTTCCTTCCATTATTGCTGAGCCTATTAAATTAAGTACTAAGCTGCCTGATCCTATTACTCATATTTCTCATAAACCAACTTTGCCACTTGTTAATTTGTCATATATTCCCACACACCATCTGAAGCAATCACCATAAACAAATCCTGTTGTCTTACCTTCGACTCATAAATGGTTGGTTCTGATGTAACTCCCACTGATTGCATTTGAGTATCTCCAAAACTTCTGGACATTGCCAATCCTGACCCCTGCATTTCATCCAACCCATACTCTATATGGACCCACTGATTGTCCATTGTGTTACAATTAGGCTATAGTTCCTCCCTTCTGTTTGATTCTATTCCTCTCCTCCACCACATCCAATCTATGATCCATACTCAATTAATTAGTAATCAACCCTCCTCTGACTCCCTTGCTTACCATCATGGCTCTGCTGTCTCCAACATTGGCACAGTACACTACTGATTCCTTTTGAAATTCCTACTAAAAATCGCCCAAATCTGCCGGCACTATGTTTTGTTACAGTAACATCACCATATTACATGTGCATCCACTCCTAGATATAGGCAGAGAACTTTGATCCAATAGACTGGACGTTTTGGCAAATGCCCCTTTTATTACAGTCTTGTGCAATTAAGTGTTGTATTGCAACATGTATTGATTTCTTTGCATTCCTTATTCTATCTACTGAATTAGGGTATTCAAGACATAGTTAGACACCAAATGGCCTGAAGATCCATGGCCATCGCAAACCATAAACAACTAATAATTGTTCAGGTTTTAAACTATAATAGCATCTTAATTATGTTTCTAACATGCTAAGGATTAAATACTTTCTATTCTCCCCCCACTATACCAGTTTCACTATGCCATACACAATACACTTTCTCCATTTCCAAGAGATAACTCTGACTCAAAGGTGACCCCATGCTTTGCATTTTTAAGAGAGGGATTTCACTTCTCTAAGATATCTGAGAAGTGTTTTTTTAGATTTTGGGCAAGGATGCCCTAGGTTTTAAAGTAAGCAAAGAAGTGTGTGCAATTTGTGTTTTCAAATGTTCTCGATGAGGATTGAAACGACTCACTTTGAATTTCGGAGAACTAATTGAATTTGGTTGCATAAATATAAATTATATATTCAAGATATTTAATATTACATCTCCTTTTTTTCTTTCTCTTGACTCATTATAATTAATAAATGTTAGTTAATTAAAGGAAGTGCATGTTTTGCGAAAAACTACGAAATGACGGGTCTTTTCACCTTATACTCAAGAGAGCCTTGTATTGCAAATACTCTCAATCACAAAACTTCTTTTATGAGAAAGACATTAATGACATAATCGACGATCGATCCGTGAAATGCACCATTCATTATAAAGATCATTTGCACTTCAATGATCAAAATGAGTACATGCGGAGGTACCCTCAACCAACTGATCTAGATATTACCGTTTTTTCGAAAGTGATGATCGATTGCCAGCCCTACTTGAATACTATAAATATCACATCAACATACCAAGAAATTTCAGCTCAAAAACAATCAACAAGAGGATGGAGAAAAACAGGGAATATTAGTATTTGAAAATTAAGCAAGAATTGGGTCTCTGTTAAAATCCTAAAAATACTCAATAGGATTCTCCTCGTAAAATCAAGGATACTTCTGAGGATCAATCAGTCAGTTAAATGAAGAACTTATTAAAAGATTTGAAAATTGAATCCACTCAAACCGACATTTCGAGTAATTCCACCATTCTCAAAGATCTTGTTAAAATGATTGGAAATAATGCCCAAAAACCTCAACCCTTCCAAATCCTCAATTACAACTAGTTCATTCAAAAATAAATCAACCCAGTCATTGAAGCCTAAAAACTTCAGTGTAAATAACTAGAACTCAACTCAGCAAAACCTAAAGAAAATAAAACCAAACTTATTAAATCACCACCCTTAACTGAACGCAATCTAAAATCCCAATAATTGTCTAGACAATCATCAAATACTAAATTAAAAAATGAAACACTAAAATAAACATAATAATAAACAACAATTACAACAACCACAGCCACTACTAAAAGACCTCCTTAACTTAAATCAAGACAAGCTTCTTTGGGTAACATCGATTTAACTAAATCCTGTTAAACCACTGCCAGAAACAATCCATAACAAAATGAATTATTATTTGAATTAGCCAAAAAAGTATTCTCAACCAAAATTGCTATCAACAACAATTTGTTAACCAAAAAGAAACCTACTTCATAATAAACTAACAATTTTTTTGTTAAAGGTAGAACTACATTATAATTCAATCTCAAAAACATGGAAGAGATAAGAAGTTCGATTCAAAGCTTAAATGTTCGACACAAAACCCCAAACTAATTAATCAAATCGCAATAAGGAACTCCAAATTATAAAAAGAAATAATTATGAACTTTATTATATGTTTAAATTATTATCATTTCCTCTTTTCTTATTTACCATTCCAACCTAAGATTGACATTTTTACTCTCAGTTTTCATCATTCTTATTTAACTAACCATTTCTTCTTAGGTTTGCCCATTCTCAGGCATTATTGGGGTTAACTCAGAATGAATGATTAATAAATGACCCTGAGGATGTGTTTTATGTTGATATAATTAATTTTAATTTTGTAGCTGTTATGAACAATCATTAAGTTCAATGTCCTCAAATATTCAATAGCCATTATTTAAGAACGGATTATAAGGTAAATCCCCAACCTTTAGTTCTCAATTTAAATCAATCAAGATAAAGTTCCAAGGCTCTCTCTGTGGATAGAGGTAAACCATTCATACAAACTAGTTTCACAGTCAAACTCAAATAAGCAAATTAGAATGTGGAATAACTCATCGACCTTTGGCAAAGACATAAATCGATTACATAAACCACTCCGACCAACATATCCCAATCATTTCACTATCATTCTACAACACAGAAAAATGAAAGCTTTGTTATTGGTACATATATATGAAGCTAAAATGTTAGAGGAGATACCAGAAACAAGAGAAGTAAGTCCATTGAAGCCAGAAGAAATAATGATTAAACCTATATAGTTATTTGAGATTAATTAATCAACATCCAAATTACCTACGACGCAATAATACAATTCTAACCACAAGAAGACAAGTTCATTATATGTAGGCGCGTTGTCAAGTAAGAATTAATTTAATTAAACTTAGAAAGTGATGCCTTCTCAGGGACTAAAAAGGCAGCTAAAGAGAATCTAAAATTATCGAATAATGGGACTTCTGGAAGCAAAAAAACTCAGATTAATTCATCATCTAAGAAATTACCCAAGGAACTCTCAGTCATAGTTTAACAATTACAGTCAGTTTAAAAAACATTGCTCCCTTATTACTAAAAATTGGAGAAAGGCAAGAAAACAGAGATGGACGAATAATTTAATAGTCTCATAAATCAAATAAAGAGCGATTTCACAAAATGAATCAGGCTTTGATAAGCTATTTTTTTTTACAATTTTATTTACTTATTAATATTAATTTAAAAAACAATCTCTCTTATTAATTATTGTAATTATAATCAATCTTAGACGCAAAAGAGATACATTTAATTTTTACTCTTAAAATTTGAAATAGTTTAAGCTATTCTCAGATTCATTGTATAAAGGTTTAGAAATTTTTTATTTTTAGAAGTATTTATAAATATAATAAAATGTGTTTTTGTTTTGGTATTTATAACCTTTCATTGTTAATGGTTGAAGTGGACAAAGTTTATTTGAATTAAAATTTAATGGTTAAATGATGATAATTAATTTATATATGAATTCAACAAGAAATGATAATTTAGAGACAAAGTATTTTGATGAGAACTAGTTTAAGGAAAGCTAGCCTATGAATTCTAATAAAGTGACAAGTAGAGGCTATCAGTCTAATATTTTGCAATCGCTGGCCATACAGGGAAGCCAAAAGAAAAAATTCAATTGTTAAAAAAGGGACATTTATGTTCGAAAGTTTATGAGGAATATTCAAACTGGGAGTTAGAAGATCAAGCAATTAAATAAGTTATAATTGCAAATGATCAATGATAAGGCAAGTTCGTAAAAGACTTTGATTTAAAAAAAGTCATCAATACCAAAAATAAATGGAAGATAATAGATATTTTTGTAGAATCTAAAAAGCTCATTTAAAAAAAATTTGGATAGAGTTCCTATTTTGTATCCTTATGCTAAATTCAAAATATTATGGGATGCTCTCTCAGTCCTAACTCGATTGTATTTCACATTTGTAATCCCTTTAGATTTGGGTTGGCAATAGCAATCATTCATTTTTTACGATTTCTAAGCTATTTCAATCTTATCTCTTCTGTTCATAATCTTTGATTTGATTTTGAGTTTGAATACAGCCTATTATAAGGATGGACAACTAGTAACCAATAGAATGATGATTATAAAACACAGTCTCTTTAATTCATACGGATTGCAATGGTTCACTGTCTTTTTGTTGTTAGTGTTTTTCTTTATTTCAATATCAGAGGACACACTCTATGGAACGAAATCCACTTTCAGTTTTTTAATATTGATCCTATTTTTGGTGCATTTCAAACCGATCATCACAATAGTAAATTACTATGAAGAGACCTTAAACTTCAACAAATAAATCTAATCGATCTTGGAATTGGTAAAATTATTATTCGTAATGTTTTATTCAATTCATTTTTTCTCTTGCATTTGGATGCTTGTTGGAAATTACAGTATTACAAAGTACAATAAAAGCTGGGTATTATAAAGTGGAGTTGAAGATGCCGAATGGTAGATCTAATATTTGTAATCCTTTTACTATTCTGCTGTGACTATGTTCACTATTGGATATGGGGATGTCACTCCTCAATCCTCTGCTGAGAAGGTCTTGGCAGTCACTTACATCATAGCTGCCAGTATATAATTGCCCTACAGTGTGAACACCTTGGGAACAATCATTCAATAAATATCAGTTTACACAGTCGAAAAGAAAAGGAAACTAAGGATTATCTCTACTTACTTAACGTAATAAAAGATATCATAGGACTTATAAATTCAAATTCGAGAATACCTAACCTTTAGATGGGAGAATTAATAGGTAAGTAAAAATGATGAAGTTGAATAACTAATTGGACAACTCTCGACAGACTTGAAAGACTCTTTAGTAACAGAATCATATTAATAAATATTGAAAAAGAGTTCATTATTTAGCATAGGATTCTCTGAGGCCTTCAGAGCAAGTTTGGTGAAGGTTGCAAAGGAAATAACACTATAGCCAGAGTAAGAATTACACACAGATGAATCCTCTTAGAACAACTTGTATTACATTATTTCTGGAGAACTGTAGATTCAGCATTCAAATGGAATGAATTTAGGAACTCTTGTATCAGGACAGTCAATTGGATTAAAGAATTTTATTACATCCTCTCAAAAACCAGAGAAATATAGGAGTGTTGGGTTTTCCAAATTGATTTGTTTAGAATAGAAATAATTCTTAAGACTATTGCAAGAGTACCCTGCAGATTATGAGAAATACTGTTAAATTAAGGACTCATTGTTGTTTACTGATCAAAATTAGGAGTTGCTTCCTCAGACTTGCTTTTCTTGCAATAAGAAGTATCATTCGATGATAAATTGTCCTCAGATTCATTACGTCCCTGATAAAGAAAAAATCTTAAAGTCATTTACCTATCCAACTGAATAGAGAAGAGCCAAATTCAATCGTAGAATCCGAATTATGAACTTCTTATCCCAACAACAAGTGATAGAGGGATTAAAGATAGCATCCCAATAATTATTGAGAGAAAATCCTGAAATTGTGAAATTGTATTCAGCAGAATATATGATAAATGAAGCAGATTCAAGAAAACGATCTTTAAGTGATACATAAACTGTAGAACAAAGTTCTCACTATTCTAATGAATAAGACAAGACTCCAGAAAAGTAGCAATCTCATAAGATCAACAAATTCAAATAGGCTGTACACAAGATTATTTCAGTCAATAATGAATACTCGCAATACATTACATTCCATCAATTAGATCCTTGGAAGAGCAAGTAACTATTATAGAACACTTTAGCTTTGAGATTGAAAGTGTTGGATGAACTAAAAAGCAGCATTTTCAAAAAGGAGCAAGACTTAATTTAATACTTATTGCAATTAAATAATATTGATTATCATTTTGATGCTTCCCAGTTTGAAATTGCTCTTAATTATAAAAACTATTACCCTAATGACAACTATAAGAATCTATTCAATTAGAAGGAACAGAAGAGAAACTTCAGATTATTAAGAAGATTAACCTTGTACTTTTTGTAGCCTTGTAATATAATTGATTAATTCAAATTAACTAACGAAGATATAAGTCCAAAGTTGAGTCAAAGGAGGAAGAATCTTTACTTCTCGGTTGATTTGGTTATCCAATGATATTTGTAAGTTTGTATGCGTATAGAATTAATATAATTAAAATTAATTAACATATATGAGTTAGAATTTTAAATTCGTAGAGCAAACCCAAGCCTTACCGTTGATAGTTAGAAAGCCTATTGCTGTTATGAATTACAACTTGTATAAGAAATACCGTCATTCTTAAAATTATTATTACATTCGAGAAATTAATGAAATATTAAGTGATGCATCTACTAGACATGTTATCCTCTTTAAGGATTGCCTGACTATAGATGAGGAAGTACCTTAATTAATGCATAACGATAGGATGAGTACCTTAAGAGATACTATAAATTGGAGGAATATCCATAAAAAATAGCACTGCTCACAGAATATTACAAAGTATTGTGTTCGATTGAATTAGTTCCATGCAGATATCGCTAGAATATTTGAAGAGCCGGTGTGCACTGTGTTAAACAAATATTTTGATAAGAAAAGGAAGTACGATTATTTCCGAATAGCCAAAATCATAGAAGAAGAAAATAAACTCAATCCTCAAAAACCCCCAAAAGGAATTGTGGGCGAGAGACCATCTCCTGCTAATTCGTAAGAATCTCTACCTCAAGAGTAGGAGTAGGTCGAAAATGAAGTTGTGCAGCACACTTAGGTCCTCAAAGAAATAAGTTGGTTGAAAGTAAGATATTGTTAACTATAAAGCTGCCTAGAATGAAAAACCTTTTCACAAAGACGCCTCATAAACTATTAATGAGTTATTTAAGCATCTCGAACACTTCGATGACATGTCTTCATTCTCTATTGCTCCGATTCCTAAGAAAGAAAAGATTACTTTGGATAATTTCTTACTTTATATTGGAACCAAATTTAACAAAAAACAAATGACATCTCCCAATTACAAACAAACTCATGATCATAGGATTCAGGAATTAATTTTAAAACAAAAGACTAAAACACTTCAAAAGGGACAACCTAATTATAGTCTCCATAAAAAGAATGATACAAAATATAGTATTGGTTCCATTGAAAAGAAGATCGTCTTTGCTAAGGATTAATTTAATAATTTGTCCAAGAAGTCCAACAGACAAGTCTCGACAGACATTATGGAAAGCTTAACCAAATTAGACAATAAACCATTAGAGTTCATTAAAAACAAATCCAAAACAACAGTTACCAAAAATCAAATAAAAATCAATAACATTATACGTGATGTTAATCATAATAACACTCCTACGCCTTCCTTGCATAAGGTCTCCATTAGTTCTACTCATCTCAAAACCTAATAACCATATGCTGTACCGTAGAGTAATAATTTCAAGTTGAACTCTTTGGCTAAGTTACTAATTGAAGATACTTATAACGATCAATAGCATAATAAACTCAAACATGGTGCCATCACTCATAGACCTTTATCAGGAACTCATACATTATTTACTTCATATTCTAATAGAAATAGTCCATCCATTAATAATAAATAATAAAATCTTTAAAATTCTAAACCTGATTTCAATCAGATAAAGAAAGGGAAATAAATTAATTCTACCCAACTACCCTAATAATTTGGATAATTGGCCAAAAACTTATTCAAAAAAGTCTTAAATTCTAAAAAGCCAAAACCTATTAATCATATAATGTAGAGTTCTCAACAAGATAAAGTGTTGAATCAATTTGATAAATTGAAAATTAACTGCAATTCTCAATAATAATTGAATGAAATTAATGAAAAAAAACAGCACAAAAAAATCAAATCAGATGGAAGAGCACTCTATAATAAGTTTTCTATACCAGAGTTAGGATGTTTGACAGAAAGACACGAAAAAGAATCCCCTTTGCTCAACTTTCATAGCAATAACAGTCATGGTTCACCACAACAATTTAGAAGACTTGATAGTGAAAAATAGGAATCAATATCAAAAAACATGAAAGGATTAATGATATAATAAATGTTGAAGTAACTAGCTAAAAAAAATTAGTAGAATTAATAAAAATAAGAGCTTTGTTCTATTATTAAAAATTCTTAGAAAATATTTTGAATCATTTCATTCTGTTACCTTATTCAATTATTCTAAATTAATAAGTTATTAATTACAAAGATCAACAAATGTATCTTACATATCTACAAATTGAGATGTCACTTGTTTCTGATATAAATCTCTTTTTGTAATTCATTAATATTATTTAATTCTAAATTTATCTTCAATTTGTTTCATAATATAAAAGTCTTGCATCAAACTCTTTTGTTATTTTAGAGATAGCGAAATTATATAAATACCAAATTCTTTAGTTATTTAGAATTAATAAAATTCACTAGATCTGTTCACATAATTATATTTTATAAATGGATTCTGTTATAATAAACAATTACATAAAGAACATTATTTATCAATTTAGATCACTTTTGCGGAATATATAGAATCAAAGCATTTTGTAAATGGCTTTCCAATTAATTATCATACTGTGGTATTTCTGGAATGTGCAGTATATCTTGACTTAAAAAGTTTAAGAGATGTTTGGATTGGTTATCATCAGTTACTACTGGTTGGAATCTCTCTGTATTGCTAATCTGTACTGATCCTCTGAATACAGAGATTTCATTTTAGAATGAGTTTCCGCTCTGTTAAAGTCTTTTCAAAATGATCAAAATTACTCGTCTTGATTTTTTTCATCAAATTCGGAGTTTTTCAGTAAATTCTTTATTCCGTTTATTAAATTTTTTAATTAAACTTTTGGAGCTACATTCTCAGGCTTTGAATGCATAAGAAAAGTACAAAAATTAAATTATCCAAACCCAAGGATTGAATATTCTGATTGTGAAAAACATGAGTCAACTCCAATCATCAATTTTTATTGTTCTGAATATCCAGTCATATGTATATGTTAGTTCTATATATAGTTTCATTAATACTTATGAAATTCAAACTGATATTAGAAACAAAGTACTCCCTGCAATTCACGTTTAATTCTTTGCTGCCAATGTAGTTCTTTTAATTTAATTTAGTAGGGATCGGTTTTTTAGTTTCGAATACATTATTTCTGACATTTATTTAGAATACAGCCTTTTAATTTTTAATTCGAAGATTTAACAACGGAATTTATAATCAAATAGTCTGCTCATTTATATCCTTATCAAAATCATTTTCTGCAGTTGATTTGACATCAACAATGACTTGCTCACTCAAATCGCCGACACATTTTGTTTACTTGGCTAAATCTGGTCGAAAACGTAGTCTTATTTCATGCTCGATCAATTGAATTAAAGGAATTGGTTATTCATAGTCTAATTTGATTTTAAATTCCTTGAGAATTTCGATTGCTGTCATTTACTCTATGATAATAAAGGATTTTGGAGTTAAATAAACTACTTTTATCAGAGACATTAAGGGAATGCTTAATTTATGAATAATTGGAATTTAAACCAATCTTAACTCTAAAATTGATTTTTACATTCCATTTCTTCACTTTCTCTATTCTTAATCTTCAAAGCATTACTGCCATCACTCTTCTTTTCTAATGTTTACTGTTGATCATTATATTATGATTAATAATTATCCACCTTTTCATTATTGTGTACACACATACATATAAATTTTCGAATCCGTCACACCATATGGCCATTTAAAGGTAGTCTAACACTGTAATATATATAAAGGCATTAAGAGATAAATATATGCTATGTTTTTGACTTTCTCTATATTAATTATTGAAGGAAGGAAACTCTAGATAAGGAAATCTTGTCGAAAATGAAAATTTAGAAGATATGATGAATCGAAGGAATGAAGAAAAGTATTGCTAAAAAGAAGATAAGAAGATCTTTATGTAAGTTTGTTGATAGCCAAACACTGTCATGCAACCTCTCAATTATGACAATTCTAAAATTATATGGAACTTTCTATGCATTTAAGTATTGGATAAAGTAACAAGAGAGGCTTAAATTTGACTGGGCAAACAAGATGCACGACAAGATACCTATGGCTAACTGTAATTTCTCTCATAACTAAATTGAATTTAATCACCAAGAAATCAATTAATACAATTTCAATTTGATATCAAGCCACTTTAAATACAACAGGATACATCCATTTCTTTCTGGTTTTCTCTTTTAAAATAGAAAAGTCTTCCTTACTATTCCTCCCAAGATTCTTCTAATTCTCCTACTAAAAAAGCTAATTTATTATCAATTCCTAATTCTAAATGCCAAACAAGGGACTCATATTTAATAACAATCTTATCTGCTTCAATGAATTAATGATTTGTATTGATAGTGTTCTTGCTGCTATTTATTAGGATAATTAGTGTATTTGAATTGATTTGATTAAAACTAATCTATAAGAGTGAATTGCTTAGGCGATCTCTTTCTTAGTACCTTTGAGATCGCTTCTAATTATACTACAAATTATTAAAACCTAAATCAATTAATAAATTAACATCTTAAGTTATTTGAATTTATGATTAAAAAAATATTAAAAACATATGGGCTTAGATTGCCAATCAAAAGTCAACACAGAATTGATCTACAAAATTAACTTCTGTTTTGGTTTATGAAGTGCAAAGAAGCATTATTTTGCATAAAGAAGATTTATTCAATAGTTCATGAACCAATTTGAGGAATGATTTTTCCATTTTTCTGTTGCTCCCAAGAGTCAGGATTTCTAACTATAAATTTAAGAGAAGAAGAAATAATTGAAAATTAGTTACAGAAAATGTACTTCTTTATTTATCAAATAATATGATATCAATTTATTCAATAGGTGTAAAAAGTCAATTATTAACCATAAGAATCCTTAATGTAATCATCGAATCAATTCTTGATGAGAAATCATTGTAAATTGTAATAATTGACAAGTATTCTAATTTGTATTAAATAAATAATTATGCAAAAACAGTAAGCTCTTGCTGTTGTACGTGCTCCATCAGGGATTACAAAGTAACCATTTAAATCAATTGTCACAACCAACTAAGCTCCTCTCCAACGAGTTAACTCTTCTGGATTCATGAGTGCAAGCAGATAGTCTAATTAATTTCAGAAACCTTCAACACCATTCTACTACACCAATAATTATAGGTAAGATTGGAAGAATTATTTACGCTCATTCCCTAGTATACCAAAAATCAAAATTTTAGCTCCAGGCACTGGTTATGATGCAAAAATGATTAAATGATATTATTGTATTAATGTTTTCAATAATTCACATATTTCATTAATTAAATATGTTTGATGTTTAACCAATCCTTGTTATTTTTATCATTAATTTATTTATCTAGTAAATGGGAAACAATAATGTCTGCTTAGGTGAGATCCAGAACAATGCTTCTCGTTAAGGATCTCCCGACACCAAATGGAAAAGAGAAGATCTAAAATCAGGCTCATGTGTTTAAACACTAATTAATAAAGAAAACACTAATTAATAAAGAAAACACTAATTTCTTTAAGATAGTCTAATGTGGATCCTCAACAACTTTCTATAAAATGAACATTCAGCTTCAAGATGGGCCCAAGCTATTTCCACCTTGAAATATGTAGATGACATCCAAACTACCATCAATCTATTATACAATAGATCTAAATTCGAAGAACTCATTGCCAGGAGTGGGTTATTGTTAGGGGATGAACTTTGCTTGTGCTCTAACTTTGATTGTGTCTGGCTGTGATGACCACAAGACTTTTGAATGCTTTATGTAAATGCTAACAAATGAAAAACACTTACTTTGCTTTAATTTTGTCATGATATGCGATTGCATTTCTTTTTCACCAAATTGATACATCATTTAATTCGCAAAATGTTCCTAAATTGAATCTGAAAAATGTGAATGATTAACTTTGGATTAGCAAAATGATTTTATCGCTGTTTATATATGTATTTAAATTAGATGATTGCATTAGAAGTTGGGATTATCTGATGGTAAGGGGAATGATTCGTGGGATTCCTGAATTAAACTTAGGTTTCATTGATGTAACCAACAAACAATTAGAGTAGTTTAAAGAGGAGGATTACGGTTTTAATTTTTAAGGTCAAGAAAGTAGCATAATCAAATTCAAAGTGGGTGAATTGATATATGCAGCCAAATAGAAACACACTATCGATAGGTAGTTGATCTCAAGATTGGCTATGAAAATGAGGAAAAGCAAGCCGTCATAATTATTAGACTTGCTGTCTCATTTCGAAAACATCTAAACTTATAGAAAACATGCTTAATTTTATATGAAGACCATATTTGATTTATACTGATATTATATTTATTATATTATGATTTCAATTGATCTACTTTTCGTTCAAGTTTCTAACAAATTATACTGGATTGCCTGCCCATAACTATCCTGAAGGAATCAATCTTCCTGGAGGCACAACACTATCATCAGCAATTTAAGAGCCTCTTTCGATTTGAACACCATCAAGTATGAGTGTTCTGGATCCAATAGTAACGTTGTCATCAATGATTGAATTGTTGATAATGCAGCTATCTCCAATAGTAACATGTTGGCCTAAGAGTTTCAACTTAATAAGACATACCAATGGTCACACTTGCCAATACATTTGTGGGAAGTCGAGTTCTAGAGCATTGGATTGAGGTGTTGTCCCCGACCACACTGTTGGAACCTATTCTGATGGCTTGATCATCTGCTCTCAGGATTGCTCCATATCCAATTTGTACATTCTCCCCAAGGTTTACTTGCCCAATTAAACTTGCATTATCTTGAATGCTGGCTGATTCACTTATTCTAGGTTTGTAGAAAGCAAATAGGGGCATAATCTTCCTGTGTCTTGATAATGGCTCTAACCAAGCAATGTCATTGGATAAACGAGACCCGTATTGATCAAAATCTAAACAGTTTAGACATATGCTCACTTACACAACCCAGTCTCTTTGAAAGCACGGCCCATCAAGTATCTGAATTCGTAGTAGATAGCACCTAAATATTTTTGCATTATTTTTATTAATATATTTAAAATATATATATATATTCTTAATGTGCAATCTTTAAATAATCATATTTTTGGATGAGGTATATGCACCTTTGATGGAACCTTGACCATTAATTGCTTGAAATGTCCAACCTTTGCTTCTCTTGTCGACTTCCCAACACTGAATGCTGGATACGACTTTTTCTTAGAATTCACTTGCACTCCTACAGCAACCCTTTTTAATTCATTAACAATACTATTTTGTATCATATGTTTAATTCTTATCCCATCCTTCGAAGATCTTTCCTAACTTGGGACCCTTCGGTAATGTCCAATGAGGAGCGTCCTCCAAATTGCTCGTGTTTGCAGGAGGCTTCTACAGATACGCTCCTGGCCCCACTATCACTGGAGTCGAGCAAGTCGGAGCCAAGGCTGATGCTCCTGGGATGTCTCTCCTATAGCCAAATGAATATTGAGCAGGAGTTGGCACTTCTGGCTTTATGGCTGGGTCATATTGAGGGCCGGGAGTTCCCTTTAATCTTTTTTCAGGAGGGAACTAAATATATTTGGATCATACTCTGGATTCCAATCCAATCTTAACGTTTGGATATTTGGGTTTTCGAATTAAATCTGCCTCTTGAGGTTCAAACTATCATAATTCAAATTCAAATTTACATCCACGTCCTTCCTCGAGTAGTAATCGAACTTCGCTCCTGTGCCCAAAGTATTACGAGGATCATTTCCAATTTTTGTATTTGCATCTTATGTGTAATAAAATTTATCTCCTCCTCTCACATCATAGACAGGTCCAGGACTGGCCTTGCCTTTTTTGGTTATATTGGATTCCCTTACCTGCAAAATCTATCCTAGCGAGTTCTTTGTTGTGATATAGTTTCGCTTAATTTGCACGTTCAGCTGAACCGAAACTAAAACTAGGCAGAGTCTATTTCGTGGACAGTGGCATCTTCCCGATTGAACTAAAGGCTTGCTTATTTTCGAATTCGATTAAATCGCCGTAATTGTAAACTTTGGGTTAAGCCTTAACTTCCTCTTTTGTTTCGGCCATTTTAATTAATATAATAGATTATCAAAATCTCCTTCACTTTGGATTATATAAATAAAGAAGCATCCATCGTTTATAGAAAGATATAGAGGGATCTCAATTTATCCATCTTGTGATTACGATATATAATGTTGTGCTTAAGCCAATGATCAAACTAGAAAAACTGATTACTTATTAAACAAAATTATTTTATTTTATTTAAATATAAAAAATTTTATATAAAAATTCTTTCCATCTGATTCCTCTCTCTTTGTTATATAAATACAAGGGCTTAAATTATTCATAAAATGAAGATCAAATCATGATTTTATGAGGATGATTTCTAATATGTTATTAAGATATTTCTATGATTACACTTCTATAAGAAATATAAAGGGGATGCTCCATAGATAGAAAAATACATGTATTTTGTAATTACAAGACCAAAAACGTTGTTTTGATTAGGATTTTAAAATATTTTGAAAAGTAGAAATATTATATCATAAAGAGTAGAAAGATAAATAAAAAAAGAATAATTATGCATTGGTATTACACTTCTTCGAGATCAATCATGTATAAATAACATTACAATAGAAATCAGCTTTGTTTTAATCATTCTATAGTATTGATTTTGCTTTCCACATTATCGTTCCTCAAGATAAAATCTGGTCCTCCTATAGCATCAAATATTACTCCACATAATTTCACATTATATTAATCTAATTGGCCTTTATACTAATATTAACTAAATACAATTATAATTGTAAGGCTTAATTGGTCCATATTCTTTTGTTACATCTTCCAAACTTTGAGTTTATGCACTGAGTTTTGGCTTTTCAGAGTCAAATGGGCTTAAGTATATGTTTCGTTCTGCCATTCAAAGTTATTTAGTTTTAATTTTTTTATTTTTGGATTACTGGGTGTGTATAAATACCCAAATTTGAATAATATAAATTTTTAAATTTAAAACTCGAAATCGTACAACCAGAGGGACCAAGGATTAAGAAAGCAAGCAACGGAGGACACCAACTTAATCTAAATGTTGATAAATTAAGAGAATAAAATAGGATACATTAGCATACTTATATTGGGTTATAGAATAAAATAAATGCAAATAAAAATACACATATCATTTAGTAATTAACAGAATTTATTACTACTCTCCTCCTATAGACAGTATAAACACTTAAATGTTACTTCAACAAATTACTTGTTTAAGATGGGGCTAAATTATACATGGTCAAAAATAGTGATTCAAACTCTTGAAATTTGTTCTGTATCTATGCAAATATTAATTTAGGGTTGACTGCATTGGCACTCCTTTACTTAAGCAATTCTATCATTCTTTTCATCTCTAAATATGTTAACAATATGTACTTTTTTCATCATTGATCTATTCTCCATCTTCAAATCCAACATCGTATTTTAATAAGAGTTCTACCTCTTATCTAGAATCCACCAGATGTATGCCTCCAAATTTCCTAAGTTAGATCAGGACATCAGGAGTCGCAGTTTATTATTGAGGGAATGAAGCACTAGAAAAATGATTCAAAATTTCAATTCGCAACTTGGCCAAAGACAATGCAATTTTGGCATCCTCATTTGAGTCATGAGTATCCTATAAATTTAAATGCGATTTTTTACTTTTTAAATACTTAAATTTAAATATTTATGAGCTAAGTTTTTTAATGATTACTTTCTGTTACTTTCTGTCATGTAAAGGACACTTGTATCCACACATTTATGATGTATCATCTGCAAAGCATTCAAATCATTCTCTAGGGAATGACCTATCAAAATAGATTCTTCATCTAAAATAGATTTCACCATCTTTTGTGCTTCTGCCAATGTAATAGTAACATTACTCAACATTTCCTCAGTTATACCGCTATATCTATAGGATTAATTTATTCCTTATATACTTAGTGTTGTAATCTAAGATTATTGTTTATGGTTTGACTAATATATCAAGTACAACCCTGTAATTGTAATCAACTATTGACACTCTGGCAAGCTCTAATCGATTTTCAGTCTACACCATTTCACAATCAATTGCAAATATATTCATCCTATTCTTCTACCCTTTTTTCCCATCCAATCTCACATAATCGTGATATATTTTTTCATCAATTGGGTATAGGTTCATTTTAAGCTATTCCTTGTTTAAAATTAAATTCCTATATTGATTGTAAATTAAGTGTTCTTATAGAATATCCTGATGATTCATTTATTGTTAATTTTATGTTTGAGATGCTTGGTCTTCGTGATACTTAGTATAAAATACTGATTGCCAAAAGTTCACATTCCCTTAATCCATTTGCTTAAATTACACAATCTTGTCTTTTTGGCTAAAAGATGATAAGTATTGAGATGATGATAAATCTAATGCAAAGTTTAAATTCATCACTACGCAACATCTAATTAAATGTTTATTCTATTTTATTATACAAGCATTACAGTCACAGTTAGCCATAATGGATTAACTTGATTCTTGCAAAACAACCACATTAATAAGATTTATAAGGTTTTTTATTTGAAATTCTTTTTCGGGGTTTCGTGATCAATCTTAACATTAATTGAGAGTTTACCACGCTAATATCAATTTTTTAAGGTAGTTGTATAGAATTAGCAACAGGCGTAATACACACTTTTTTTTCTTGAAATAAACAACATAAATTACCAATTTCAGGTTCCTCTCCAATTGCAGCCTTTGTGGCCATTAAAAAATGACTTAAAATTATAATATTAAGTAAAGAAAGAAATACGAAATTAGAAAATAAACAAAAGGAAAATTATTGATACATCAGTAGTAATGAATAGAGAAATTGGAAAATTAATATGGATTGTATATATTAAAAACTATTCTTAATTCACTTAGATAATTATCAAATTACAACAAATTGTGTAATTTTTAATGCAAACTTTCTAGTTTAAGGATTATACATAGTTTGCTTCACCTTTATGGTAACGGTTCTTATTAGAACACTATTATTAATATTATTATTTACTCCATTATTAGATTTCTATATTACTCATTTTTAGTTTAAACTAATTATTAATGCTCTTCTTTCAATTAAAATTTAAGTCTACAATCTATAAAATAAATACGTATAAACTGTTTTTCCTTCCTCTTTATCAATCAAACTAATTTAATTAATATCGACATGGTCAGCTTAAGGAGGATAGTCTTTAGAAGGTTGTTCATTTTGTTTTTTTTTTTAAACTGGATTGTTTCCTTTGGCTTTTGAAGTAGGATCGCCTTAGTCAGTTTGAAAATTATCTTCATTTTTATTTTAATTAAAAAATTCTAGTTTTGCTATTACATTGAAACTTTCTGCTCCAATTTTAAAATTTTAATAAAGCATTAAGAAATTTTCTTTGATTTCATACAACACAAGACTAAAGTAAGTGTTTGAGAAAATCTACTCCTACTACTACTCCCTGAACTAGGTATTTTCCATATTATCCTTGCTCACTAAAAATTTATCATAAGAGTCTTCTTTCTTTGCATCCAAAAATTCGTCCTGAAATCTCTTATCCAATTATTTATAAGATTTCATTAAATACTCTCTCACTTTATAAATTATTTAATCCTTATCGCCAACGGCTTCAGATGATTTTTATACGGATTTGCCTTCTAAATGTCTTTATAATAACTATGTATATTGAAATTATTTACATTAATCCATCTTATTATGTCTCTGCAATTTTCAACAGTTTCAATCAATTTTAGAAATACTTCAATAGGTTTAAATTCTGCAAAACCTAAACATGTCTAAATGGTTTAAAAGCTCACTTATCTGTTTTATTTTGCTAATTCAAGTATTGGATTAATAACTTAGTCTCTAAATAACTAATTATAAATTATTAAAGGGACATATCTTTAAGTTGGAATATTTATAATATCTTAATAAAGTTCTTCAACTTGCTGATGATTTTCATCGACAATTTACTTAATTTAAAATTGTTATTCAAATTAACTCCTAATATCATTAATTGATATTTATCTTCTAGTTATATATATATATGTCTCGTCAATTTGAGGATTGTACATCAATTTAGATATTTCTTTCGAATATACTTGCCTAAGCCTGCTTTAATTTTCCCAAAATTCTACATTATCCTTTGATTTAGTTTCTAAAAATTTTAAAAAATCCTCAGCCTATAATTTATGAGAATTTTTTTTCTTCATTTCATAGATTTCAGTTTATTCTAATTCTATTATAATTATGCAATTTTCCTAAATGAAAGCTTCTCTTCTTTACTGCTCTATTTTTTTTTTTTCTTCTTCATTCTTATCTTAAAAATTATTTAGCTCATCTTTTTTTTTTGCAGTTGTAGGATCTATATTTTCTTTTATCAATTTATTTATAGTTGAGATTATAACACTTGCTTAATTGCCTTACCGATATTACTCTAATTGCTATGAATTAAATTTCATATGTTGTTCAAATGCTTGTTGCCTTAATATACTTGTAGCAAAAATGATGAAACGATCATTCTTTTCCAACGTTGAATTCTTTTCATTCTCCTTTTGAATGTTGATTAACTATGCTGATTATTAAACTATTTAATAGTAAAAGGATTTACATAATTCATAACTTTCAAAGAAAAGCGATTCCGAAACTACAATATATCTGTTGGGGCCGAATTGATTTCTCGTACCAATAATTTAATCTAGTTCGCAATCTTCAATCATGTTAATAGAAATAAAAATAAATTAATGTTTTAAATTAATCTTTGAGAATTTCATATAGTAATCTTAAAATCACACAATTTTATTAATTATACGAATTTCACAAGAGATTGCCAAAAATATTTGAGTATTTTTCCAATTGAATGAAAAATAGGAATAGTGTATGGAAATTAATTAATTTTATTCATGAATTTATTAAACAGGATTATTAGAATCAATATACAGAGACCAATCACTTCAAAATTAACCTAATTAATAAGAAATCAATTGGAAAATTTTTCTTTTTATTAGGCAAAAGTCCTTGCTGTACAAATTGATTGCTAAGGTGGATCTGTAGTCTAAGCAAAGCAAATATAATATTTACTTTAAAAATTTGCTTAAAAACAAAAGTGCTTGATTTATTTAAATTTAGACTCCCTATTTTATGCTTTGCAGGAGCTCAAGTTTATAATAGTGCAAATATCATATTGAGTTGTGCAGATAAGATTATTGCTGCAAATAATTCAGAAATTGGAGATTATACTTTTTCAGGATAACTGTGGAACATCTCTGAATTGATAAAGAGAGAGAATTTAGAAGTGATTAATTTGTCACATGGAAAGTACAAGGATCGTTTGAATCCCTTTCAACCTTACAAAGAGACAGATAAAGAATGGTTAAACAATTCAATGAAAAATAATGAAATTGAACTTAAAAAACAAATAACATTGAACCTGTCTAAAAAGTTCATAAATCTACATGAATAAACAGACTGTTTAAATGAGGCATTTCAGTCTTCCATATTAACTGGCTATCAGGCTCAAAAATTAAAGTAAGCATCATGCAAATTATGAGAATAGTTGATGAAATCGGTACTATTGATGAGTACTTGTAATCAAATTATAAAAATATGAAAACCATAGAATTTTTTAAACCCCAAGCTTATAACATTTAATAAGAGATTATAGAAAAGTTAATATCATGATTATTTTATATATTAAGAGTGTAAGATAATGAACATTAATAAATTCTTAAATAATATCTCATATCAGTCTTTCAATCTGCATTTTATTGATTATTATGGTAGAATTCATTATCTTCTACAAAAATTAATGTTTAATTAAGGATAATTTAATTTAAAAATAGGTCTTAAATTCATACCAAGAGAGTAAATTAAAATTACTGATTCTTAATAATTCCAGTGTATTTTTACTTAGAGTGAATAGGAACAATGAGAATAACAAATATCACTTTCCAGCCCAGATACTTTCTTTTATAACTTCTGTAAGAATGTTAATAATAATGAATTACTAGTATTTTTTATATTATTTAATTTTATATTGAAATAACTCAACTGTTAATTTCAGATCATGAGTCTTTTAATTGATTTGTTTCAATAAATTGGTACTAACAATGATAACAACTATATTAAATATGGCTTTAATCTAAATTTGTGAACATTTTTCATTTCATTTTTTGAACTAATAAAATGTATTTAAAGCTGCATACTTAGAATTTGAAAACCTTTTAACTTTAGTAAAATAGTCTTAACTTTTCCCAACACTGTATTTCGACTGAAGGAGGATTCATATTTACATATTCGAAACATATCAATAATATATTAAATTAAAATACTTGAGAAGTGATTCCATGAAACAAACTTATAATCATTTAAATCCTGTTTTCGCACTTCTGGGCTCAAATTCAACCCAAACTAGCCCTATGTCTACAACTGATTTGAATGACTCAATTGAATACTATATAGACTAAAAAGAATATTAGACTGAATTGGAAATTGTCCGATATCTGCACAATTTGGGAGTACAGACTAAAACAGATCCTCAGATTAAAGAATAGCAGTATTGGAAGGAAAAGAGATAAAGAAGTTAAAATATTATTTTAGATACTATTGGAAATTCTGCTGACAAAATAGTGTTAAATCCCTCTGTCAATAGATTATTAAGAAAGAATGTATCTCAAAAGAGACTTAGATCAAACAGTCCCATCTTTCTGCTGGATTGATTGTGAATCTTTTTTACAAAATCTTATCACCTTAAATATATATCACAATCTCATCATATTAAATAGATGTTGTCACATTAATTAATAGGTTTTAAAACTTTTAATTAATTTCACCAAAGTATTCATTTAGAATTCCATATTTGAACTTTTTTATTTGTCTCTCCCAAGTTCTCAAAGTATGTAACTTTTTAGATTTATTGTAATATTTAATCCACCTTTTCTTTTATTATTTCAATCTACACTATCACAAATTTTAGTTCAATTTCATTTATAATTGTCTAAAATTTATTATAAATTCAAGCTTGTAAATTCATGCTTAAATGTAACTATACATAAGAATAATTGAACTTCATAATATCAAAAATTGAAAAAACAATCTCAAAATGCTAGAATTCAAATTGGTTCAGAAATAATTCATTACAACCAATTATTAATTTATCAAAAGTATTTCAATTATTTTAACAAATATTATAAAATTAAATTGATCATTTCATTTAAGATTTCCAACCAGAAGAGAAGTTCATATTTTCAATATCAAGAAAAATTAAGATACCCTAAAGTTATTGAATCCCTTAAAAATTATGGAAATAACTTAAAATAATCATGAATAACTTTTTTAAATTAACTTTCAGTTTTACATTTTTGCAAGGAACTACATGTAATTAGGATTTATGTAATATTGAAATGAAGTAGAGATAGTGACTTTAACATCAAATTGAGTAAGAGATGAATGAAGAATTAGAACTAATTTAATGGAGGTATGCCTCAAAATTGGATTTACGTAATATCAAACAGGAAGAAGATAAAAGGAAATAATAACCTTTGAATTTACCTTTCATCCTCCAAATCAGTTATAAAGTATTGCAAGTATTAGGAATGTTACAATTCCATAAATAAAATTTCAATAAGTAAAGTAATCTAAACCTCCCCCTTTTGAGTTTATACCTAAATAGAAATTATGATTAAAAATTACCCGCTAAATATTCGTTATATATATAAAATTTATTAATAAAAATGGATTAAACTGTTGTTGATTAATTGTCTTTAGATGCCATACCTTACTATTAAGAATAATTATATGGAGCACTCTCTCTAGTATTGGAACTCTAAAATAGAATCGAAGCTGAGAATGAGATAACAGAAAATATTGTCGTTAAAATATAGGATGACAATAAAAATGAAATCTATCAACATGTTCTGGATTTTGATGAAAAACAAATAGATGATGTGATATAAGAAATGAATGATAAATGCTTGTCGCAATTGGAAGAGATCGATTAAGAGACATGCAAATAAGATGAGCAAATATTCACTATGAATTAGGTAGTTTAGCATATTTATACGTAGAGAATCGATGAATTGGAAGACATTATTTGCCAATGCATGAAACAAACTAACAAAGATCAAGTGATATTAAATGATTTGACCAATTTGATCAAGGATAAACAATTACTTTTGCAAGACATCAATTTTGAGATCAAAGAATAAGAATAAATCAATAAACAAAATTAACAATTTATGAAAAGAAGAATGAAATAAGAGAAATAAAAACAATAAGAACTCGATGAAAAGATGCTTTTGAAATAAAAGAAATAGGAGCAGAAATAATTATTGAAAGAGAAAACAGCAAAGAACGAGGAACTACTAATACAATAAATGTTAGAGGAAAAATAAAGACTTCAATATGAAATAGATGAATTAATCAATGGCCAAGAATAGAAAGTGTAATAATTACTGAGTCAAATGGAAACCACAGTCATGGAAGAAGATGAGAAATCTATAGTTGCATCTGCTGTATTGAGGGAAAGCGTGGACAAATCTCATTATGAAAGAAGGGAAATTAAAGAGTAGCCAAAAACCAGAGCCTGTTGTGGAGAGTGTTAAATATTCTGATTAGTTAATTTATAATTTTAGTATAAATTTATTTATTACTATTAATAGTGGTATCATTGATTAATAACTGAAACATCTATTTCAATCCTTTAATCATTTTGCTGTTTTAATCATAATATCACTCATAAAAAAACGATTTATTTTATTTCGTTTTTCTTACCTCACCTTCTCAATACTCTCATTTTCTAATATTATTTCTCTCGTTCATTTATATTCTTCCCTTAGAAACTTGATTTACTATTTATAGTGCACTGTTATTTCGGTTCATAAGGTGCCCACCATTTAGATTTGATCTCGACAACTCCAAATAATTTATTTAGTATAACAAATTGAATCTATTAATATATATATGCTCTAATCAATAGGTGAAATACCTTAAACACAACCTCTCATAAATTATGGGACTGTAAAATACTCTTTCAAATGTGTCCGTCGACACTTATTTAAAGATAAAGTCTACTATGTTCATGCCTTACCCAATATGATTACAATAGGAGAAGTATATAATCAACCACAATCTTAGCATATCAATGACCCTAATCCTAAGTATAAATTAGAACTCAATTTGAAAAATATCGTCTACTGGAAGTAAGAACACGGTTAAAATCGTGCCTTCGGTATAAAATATAAGTAAGTTTTCAAAAATGAGAATAAATTAGAAAGAATGTGAAATACTTTGAGGCCGCTTCAGAATAATTATAAAAATTTCGACAAGAAATAAGTTGTTTAATTGGGTTCCATTCCTTCGATGACCACTATAAAATAGATGAATTAATTGGGAAGGGATCTTTTTCTTCTGTATATAAAATTTTTAGGTAAAATGACAAAAAAGTCTTTGCTATGAAATATGTGTCAAGCAAATAGAAGAACGACAAGGAGAATATGGTAAAATTTTCGAATATTAGCAGCAATTAGTTGAGAATGAAATTGGAATTCTTAGGTCCTTTAATCACGAATCCATCCTTAAAATATACGAAGTCTATCGTGTTGAAGAGTATCATTACGGAATTATAGTTGAATATTTGGATGGAATTGCATTATCTACTCTAATCGAATAGCTGAAGAAAAATTAAAATATTCTTAAAGAATCAGAAATCAAAACTATCCTCTAAGCCTTGCTAATGGCACTGGCTGTTATACATTAAGAACAAGTAATACACAGAGATATAAAACCATAAAATATAATGATTTCCTAATAACATCATAATTGCGTCAAAATTATTGATTTTGGACTCAGCATTAAGAACTAATTGTAATACAATAGATGTGGGACTCCTGGTTACATGGCTCCTGAAATTGTTAACATGAGAAAGGACTAGCAGAAGGCTTGGACTTCCCTTTGTGATATCTTTAGCCTTGGAGTGGTATTCTTTAAATTGTATTAATACATTCTCTAATCCTTATAGATTATCAAAGGGCATCAGTTGCTTTTAAGGCTAAACTTCTGATCAAGTCTTGGCCAACAACAAAAAATGTTAAATCGATTGGTCTATAGTCTAACAGCATAATTATTCTAAAAATTGCATTGTAAACAGTTCAATCATATATGGCTAGTCATTATTAAAAGCAATGTTAGCAAAAGATCCCGAAGAAAGAATCACAGCATACTAAGCTCTTCAACATCCCTTCTTTGGAGATACGTTCTCAACTATGTATACTGACTATGTTGGACATTCAATTAGTCTTAAATCTAAGCAAGTTTTAAACCCAACACTTGAAAAACAAAATCTCGATTCCTTATAAAGTGTAGAAGACAACTACGTTCAAAAGTAGTAAGTTTATAATAGAGACATAAAACCATCTATTCTAAGTAGATAGAAATGATTATATTTTTTCAAAAACAGATAGTTATTCATTATAAAATAAAATTACATATATATATAAAATTATCAAATTACTGGATATTTAGCAAAGTGCTTTAATAACTCCTCATTTATATTCCTATTCTATTCAATATTTATTGATTAATAAAAGAATTTTGGACATTTCCATTAAGCTTTGCATAAACTAATTTCTTTAGCTTATTAATCTAAAAACCATGCCGCATATTTCAGTATTTCATATTCCCCTATTATATATCATATGATTAAAGTTAATACTATCGGATAATTTTTCAAAACTTTGAGAATTCCTTTCCATATATTTAATAAAAACTTTACCATTTTAGTAATTTCCCTTGTGAAAATTATAGGTTCCAAGCTGATTCATAGTCTTGAATTGATCTTAATAATACTGAGCAAATTATTTATTTCCTAATTCATTATACAACATTCCTAAATTTCTATCTAATTCTATTACCTAACATAAAAAAGAGCTATTTGTATCTATCCTTCTTTCTTTCAGCTTCTACTGATGCTTCTTAAAATTTTTTTTGATACCAATCGATTACAGCCTTCATAATAGAAGCCAAATCTATTGACTTAGAATCTTCATAAGATGATAAGGCGAATTCAAATTGAGATAAAAATAAATTAAGATTTCCTTTCTAAAAGTTTACTTATTCATTATTAAATTCTTCATTCTTGCTTGCAATAATGTAACAATCCAATGCCTTTGAAAATTCTAACTCTCTAAATAAGGATTCGCCTAAATATAATCTTCATTATTCTACCTTTATAAAAGTATGATTCAGCGAGGTCTGGTTTCAGCTTTATAGCTTCGTTAAAACACTCAATTGCTTAACTGTATGATAATTCAAGATAGAAACAGTATCCTACATAACGATGAGAAAGAATACCTTAATAATGCATAGCCATATAATCCTAAGGGTTGATTTCAAATAGCCTTTTAAATTACAATATCCCAATTTTAGCCTATCCATTTTCTTTTATAATCAAAAATGCTTCTTTTAAGAGAGCAATATATTAATCTTCCTTATTCAATTACTAAATGATCTCAAAAGCCTCTTGAATTTTATTAAGCTTAAGTAAAAATAAAACTTTGAAAAATAGAAGCTTATGTTTCTCGCCAGAGATCTTCTCTAAAAAGATCTATGCTTATTCAAATTTAGAATCTAAAATTAAAACATAACCTATAAATCTAAATTAAAATATTCACTTTAAAAAAAATAGTTCCATCCATTATCAGGGAATTGTTAATTTATGTATTTGCTCATTGCATTAACATCTTCTATTTTATCTTACATTTGTAAGATAATACCTAATATTATTCAATTTACTTTTTTACCTTTCAGTAGACATCCATAAACACTGTTTTGATTAGTATCAATCAGCGTTTCTGATTATTTCATAGCTGATTCAAGTTCATTTTGATTTAATAGAGTCAAACCTTTATAAATGTGGATTAATACATTTGTAAACTTAGGCAATCTCTTTCAAATTCCTATGCTCAATAACTTTATCAAATATTTCTTGGGCTTAGTGAAACTTCTTGCAATTGAGTAAGACTTTTCCTGTTAATTTAATTTTAAATTAGTTACCATAGAGTAGATTATAAAAGGATTTATTTGTTTTTTGAGCCATTAATTTATATTTTTAAAGAGCAAACTCTAACTTCCCAAATCTTTCTAAAGCAAAAGCTAAAAAGGTAAATTTAAAAAATACCTTCAAAAAGATTTATGAGTAAATTAGTTGAGTCTATTTTACTATACATAGAAAGGTAATTTATTGCATCTTCATTTTTATTCAACTACATTAAGTTGAGGCTTATGTACAGAGAACTTTCCTTTAGGATTTATTAATTAGTATTGTTATTTCTCAATTTCTAAAAGAAATCAAGACTCTTTTTGTATTCTTTGATTAAATATAGATTTCTCCCAAACAAACATTCTAAACTCCATTTATAACTATTAGATTTCAATTTGATTTCCTTATTAAATTCTAGAATGTTTTTATTTAGAAAATATATTTTCTATGTTAATTTTAGTATTTTAGAGGATATTTAAAGTGCTTTCTCATATTTTTGAATTGAATATAATAGGCAACCTTATAAATGAATGCAATATACTTTTATCGAACATTAGTATAATTTAATATTCTTATTAGACATTTTGGAATTGATTAACAAAAACTTATCGAATATTTTCTATTTACTATTAAGAAAAGAGCTCTGACGATAATTTCAAATAAGCCAAGATATCATATAAAATGTAGTCCTAATTTATTGTAATAAGAAACTCCAAATTTAATAGATTTTGTAAATTTTGATTTAAGAGATGGGATTTTATCTTTTAAAGCTAAGTGTATTTGGCTTGAATAAATGAATTAAACTGTTCATTTATTTACAAATTTTTCTACTCCAAATATTGTTTTGCCATTTCCATTTTCTCTAGTACTGACTCTATGATTAAGAGAATATTATCATTTAATAGAAAATCATCAATATGCATATAATGGACTTCGGCAAAACAAAACTTACAACCCAAATAAGTCTACTTACATTATTGGCAAATACCAATAATTTTGCTGTTTTAATGATGCACTTTTTGGCAAGAATTCATTAATATTTTATAAGTTAATAATATTATGGTATAATTACCACTTAAATAGTATAATAATAGTGTATTTGGAAATTGAAAATGATAAATTGAAGATCTGAAATATAGTTTTGGATGAAATAAAATTACTAAGTAGAATATTGATTTCTTAAATTATTTAATTTATCAAAGTATTTTTAATTAGAATTGGGATTGATTCAAATTTATGACATTTCAGAAATACTATTAAATAAGAATGTCATATAATAGTAAGACTTCAGTTATAGATAACATATTAAATCAGTTTTTAGAAATATAGAAGATCTTAATTTAATTAAATTAAAAATAGAATTCTATTTGATTAAAGTAATCTAAATAATACATTGATGAATCCAATATTAAAATTCAAATAATATGGTACTCCTGAGTTATTTTATTGAAAAAATTAAGCCAAACCCTTGCTTTTGTGTTATATAAAATAGTTATATAGTTCTAATGATAAAGACTGATATAGTGATTCTATTTTGATATATAGATATAAATTTCTTTTCAAAATTCTTCTCATCTCTTCTTTTTACTTGGACGTATTTCAATCTAAAATTGTTTTAAGGTCTCTCCATTTGCGTATAATTGGACAGCTTTCATGGTTTCTTCTGAAATGAAATAATGTCTTTTCTTTTATGATGTAGTGGACATAGATTTTTCATCTAAAGTCCTTTTGCTTTTGTTATTAGTAGATCTATTTTCAGAGGGTAATTTTGGTTCCTTTTATTCTTTTGTAGGAGGTAAATGAAAGCTGGTTGCACTTTTAGTTTTAATTGGTTTATTGGTTGGCAATCTATCAGTTGGGTTAGCTTTAATAATTTAACTGAGTTGTTGAGTACTTCTTTCTTCAGCTAATTATAATTTTTTTTTATCAAATTCCTCTAAATAAATTTAGTATTTAATACTGCTAAAATCCTCATTTTTTCATTTTAAATAGTAATTTCCATTTACTTTTTAGTGTCCTGTAATTTTTAATATTCATTTTATTATTGTTTCAATCTTCTATCTGTTTCTTCGAATCTCTAAAATGGAAATGGAATGATACATCTAATAGAACTGCATTTTTATATTATTCTTTTCTTTTTTGAATTTAATAATTCTAAGCCGCATCTTCCAATTTCAACAACTCTTAAACATATTTCCTCTTCATATTTTAGATGTTTCTTTGTCTCAACTCTTCAGCATTTAAGAATTATTATTATTTCAGTGCCATAATTCTTTGCTTCTCCAACTCAGTTTATTTATCCAGATATCTTTATTTCTAATAAATATTGTAGAATGAATTAATATACCATTTACACTTCCTCCATATGAGATTATAAGATGAGACTGCTCTCATCTCTCTTCAATTTCTTTTATTCTTCCAACCTGGATTTCTTCAGCTCTCTTTCTTTCTCTTAACTAAGGTATTCTTGATTTCTCTTGTGTTGTTCTTGACTGATGATCAATTTCTTCTATTCCATCATGTACTGTTTTTACTATTCCTAATTTCTCTTTTACTGTAATAATTATTGTCTATTGAATTCTTGCATGGTATTTCTCATTTGAATTTCCTTCTCTTTGGAATGAATTTTTTGCTCCATTTAGTATGTCTCTAATTGTTTTAGAGCAGTAGCATTTTAATATTTTTCCCTAGCTCGTTCCTCTTTTAATTAATTTTATTATCTGATGTATTGCTATTTTTCTAACAGCATTTGTTCCATATTTTATAATTTCTTGTTATATTCTTGTTTTCGAATCAGATTCTCATGCTGCACTAGTTCTTCTTACTCTGCCATTCTTTAGGCTCTCCTGTTCATTTTTTCTTAAATTTCTCTTTCCCTTTCCTCCTTCTCTATCTGCTTCATCAACGCATATTTAGCTTATTTTTATTGAATCTTGAGTTCCTCCTCTTGGAACTTACGCATAATAGTTTCATTGTGAATGTCTGCTTATAACTTAGCCTATTTAAGTTTTTGTTCTCTCAACTTGAGTTTTGCCTCCTTCTCTTCCATTCTTTAATGAAACTCTTCTTCCTACATTTTCCTTAGCTCTTCGATTCTCTTTTCCTTCATTTGATTCTTCCTTTTCATTTCTTCGATCTTCATTTCAGTTTGCATTTCCCTTTCAATTTCAATCTTCTATTTGTTTTGCAAAGTTCTGAGAATCTGTTCCTACTTTTACATAAAAGATTGACTCAATTACAATTGACTAGATTAAGACTAAAAGTTAGACGATAAGTTACATTTCGTTCATGTTCTTCGGAATTATTATTGTATTCCTACCTAACCAGATCCAAAAATCTGTCAACTCTTTCACGCATATGCTGCAATTTGGCTTCGACATAAAAGTCTACATCTTCAAATTACACTCCCAATTGTAAGATCTCCTCTCTTGTCGGATAGTAGAGATCTTGAGCAACCAAACCCAGAGCAGCCAGTACTTTTTTTGATCGAGGACTACCTTACATCATAGATTACATACGTAGTTATTTCACTCCTCACTGCAGGATTGAAGTTTAATAAACTCATAACAATATAATAAATATCAAATGAGAAGGAACTTCCAAAATTTAATAAAAGATCCTCCTGCTAATGCTTAAAGAGAATCGAAACCGTAATAACCTGCTGTGGTCTAGGTGGCTGAATGGAATAAGGCATTGGAATATTTGGATGCTGGAGACATCAATAAAGCCTACGAAGAAATATTGATATCAGAAGATGACTTATATTTGTTGAGGTTGATGACGATCACTGGACCTTGTGTAAATAAGTTGAGTTAGAAGGTGGCTTTCCAATTGCATCAGAAGATTAAATTATTGATGAAATCAGAATTTTGGAAGGTCCTTGCATTGCAGATGTTGGGCAATCTATCATCCAAGTAAGAATGCTTAAGGATTGAATAAAAGTAAAAGTTACAGCAGTTACTATATTAATGGAGTAAATCCTGGCAGCCTTAGATTAGCAAGGAAACTGTACTATTGTACAATTCAGGAGTGTTCAAACCCGATCACATTATTTGACTTGGTATTTATTTATATATTTAAAATGTTTAAATCAACATCTCATGCATTGGGAATAAATCGCTCTATAGAATACTTCGAATTTATAAACAATCATAAACAAAACAATTATTTTCTATTCTATTCATTTTTTAGTGGTACTATGAAGATTGTCAGAACAGGTTTTCTTTTCAGCAACATACTTCAAGAAGTACTTGAATTAGTTTTGCCTTTTCAATTCAATTATGTTCTTATTACCAACAGATAGAGATCTTCTCATTGTTGGATAATTTGAAATTACTTTTTAATGGACAAGATGAGATACTTTAAACCAAAAGTCATTACTGTTTTGATCATCTAGTGATCCTTTTTGCGGAGCCTCAAATTGAAAATTGAAAAATTAATCATCATCGGTGTCATACTTTATGTCTTCATAATTAATTACTCTAATTTAGTAACTTTTTATCATTTTATAATAATTAATACAAAATTCATAAATATGATAATACATTATTTATCATAGAAAAGATAGATTGGTCTTCCTCAAGTCTCTCTAAAATATATCGTAAATTCTCCCTGTCTGACTGTTACATCAATACATATTGACTACTGTGCCAAGTCTCCTTGTTTAATATTTCCACTACGGCTTCAAGAATAGCCTAATTTAACTCCACATTTTCCAATTACAAGAATTCAAATACCTTTATATGCACTTTAGATTAACATAGTTGCAGAGTTTATTAATAATTACCTTTTAGAAGATATGCACACAAAGTAAAGCAGGCTTAGATTCGTATTTATTCATCTTTTGAATCCAATAACTGGAATACATAATTAGTGATGTCAGTCTATAGAAATATGAGATCATAAAATTATTTTCCCCCACACACGCAGAATTCTAAGACCCATAAGGCTTAATTTTAAACTAGCTTACTAGAAGAATCTTAAATAGTAATACTTATTTGAACAGAGTTTCAATTTTAATTGTTGCAGCAATCCATTTTTGATCAAAATTTCGATATGAGCTGGACTTTGGGTAGCTATCTCTGCCAGGATCCTCAAAGTCAATTAATCATTAAAACCTTCATTCAATATTTGCATCAATTCCAAAGCTCCATTGAATTTAAATATTTGATTGATCTAAGGTGCAATCAAATTTATACATAACCATTATGCATTCCCACAAAAGTGAGATTGAGCAATATTTACAATAAGTAATTTAATTTATCCAAATTTTTGGTTGACAATGCAGTACAAACTGGTTTAATGAACACTTCTGCATGTTTCCTGCAATCATTGTCCTATTTGTACAAATCCTATAGCAAAGAGGCTATCAATTGCAAATGCAACTCAAGAACACAATTATCCATTTAATTCTAAATTATATACAATTTATCTATACATGAAAGGCATGGCAAATACTATGTGTAAACAACTTGCTTCTCAATAGTTCTCCTCTTGCCTCGAAGGTTGTTGAAGAATACATCAAGATCTGATCGACCTTGATGAAAGAATATGACAATCGAGAAATTTCATCATATCCCGCCTCCAATGGACAATTCTGGTCATTTCCTTTTATGCATAAGCCCTAGCGAAATATTTCAGCTTCCAACAAGATGAAAAGTTAGGAAAAGGAGATAAGCATATCGTTGAATTTGGGATAGTTATGCAAATGTTCATCAGGCAATAGCACTAAAATATTTAGATAAGTCAAAATATTTTTGAACAAATCCCAATTAGAATAGAGTTCATTTAAATTGAGCAATTTGCACAATTGGAAACCAAGGTCATTTTAAAGCATTTCAACTATAGGTTTATTCACTTTTTCATTAATCAAAATTAGTAGATCTAGTAATTTAATTTTTCCCATCTATTGCATTTACTACGCATAATAATCAGAAAGCTGAGAATCAGAATTCGATACTTTTCTTTTCAGATTGAAGATCTTCTCAAGTTGATTTCTTCGAATTTCTGTGTGAAATTGTTCTCTTTTGCCTCTTAATAAATCAGTCTCATTCATACTTAATAAAATAGATTAAATATTGAATTAAATTTCTTCATTTTACATTCATATTCCAATTGTGTAGACACAAGACACTCTATGCAGTATCTCATCTGATAGTAAAAGTGAAACTCTGAACAGACATATATATAAATATTATATATATTTTATTGATATTGTGCATAATATAATATAATGAAATGTTTTGTTATTGATTATTATATGCATTTGCCTCATTCCTGCTCATGAGTCTAATAGAACACCTTCTAAGTTGTTCTGAAGCTGTCAATATATCTGACCAAACAATTTGTCATGGCATCTTGATCTTATTCTGTGTATTGACCACTGAATTTTTTCATATCTGGAACAAGCTAATTAAAGCAGTTTTTAAATGCTTGACTGACGAATAATTATCCTGATTAGATTGAACTCATTAATTGTTATTATTATTAATTAAAATTATTTATATAAATAAGTATCATCATTATTTTTATTTAAGTACTTCTACTAATCTTTATAGAGCCTTAAAATAATTGCTTGTCTTGATAAGGAATTAAAAATTAGGCACCACAGATTAAATGTAAGTGAATGTCAACTCCTTCTACTAAAAGTAATCCGTCTTGTTTTCGAATAGATTTACAATCACTTTATGTTGTGTATGGAATAATTGTAATTACAATAACACTAGGTGTTTGTTCTTTTTCTTTATGACTTCGCTATAAATGTACCCTTCCCCATCCTTCTTCTTGTCCGTTTGGAACTGATCCACACTTTCAGTAATTATGTACTTCCTCAGAGTGTTGGCAGTTTCTTAATGCTGTAGAGCCAATTACGATAGATTCAGATAGTTTTATGTCTTGATCTTGTAAGTCAAGTAATGACACATGTTGATGATGTCAGAAATGGACAACTTGCTGTTCATGTAATTGGTCTAGGATTTGAAAAAGCCATCTGCTATAAACAAATTCAAGAGTTCCCTAAGGTTGACTCTGATGTCCTTGAAGAAGTAGTTGGTTAAACAATAATATCTAAAATAGATATTGTAATTGGAAGAGGAAGAATAAGGCATGGGATTCAAGGGTTTTAAGATGTCGGTTCTTTTGTTATTCAAAGGTTCTAAGAAGCATTCTACATAAGCTGATCCCAACCTTTCAATTCGAAATTGTGCACTGCAAATGAATTCCATAATCTAACTATCCGAGAAATTGGTGTTCAAACTGTATCTACTCTTAGAGAATTTGAATTGCTGAGTGACTCTCACATGATTGGATATTATCAATTTTTCAAACTTCTCAGTCAACTCCGTCTACACTTTGTAATTGTACCTAGAATTCTCCATAGATTGTCTCTTCATCAAATGCTCCTTCCCTATTATTTTGATCTTCTAATCTGAGATGTCTTCAAATGTCTCTATCAATCGATCCATCAGAGTGTTGAAATTACTGAAATTCTTATCTTGTTCCAAATTCAGCAAAAACACCTCAGTTAATAACCTATTCCAAATCTAGATTTCAATCATTTTATCACGATTGTCCTCATTATAATGTAATTTTCTAGTGAAACCCAAGAATTTCATCACATTATCTGAAATTTAATTGTTTTGATTAATGGCTTGCTTGATTACTTTGTTTTTCATTAAAATCTCATTGCTTATCTGAGCGAATCCAATTCTCGAGTGCAATTTCTTCTTTTACCTTGCCGATTGCAAATCAAAAGGAGACTGCTCAGCTTTCTTTATCAATTTGATCTTTTATATTAAATTCATATCTAATTGGGGATGCTTTTTAACATTAATTTGAGTGCCCTTCTCTTTATTACTTAAATCATTGTAATCTGTAAATTAGGGATTGTCAATCAAATTGAATATGACATGATCTTTGAAATCCATTTCCTAAAAGTGCAAAATGCTTATGTAAGTCATCAACTTTCTTTTACTTTTAGGGAAGTAATAGAGAATCTAAAACATGTCCAAGTAAGTGTGGGCAAGGATAGAAATAATAACAAATTCCTATTTTATTAATTTAACATTTTTCAAATCTTTGAATCGCATTTCATTAACTATTTTTACTTTATTTTTTTATTTGATTACATAAAACTTTTAGATGTAGTGTCCAATGACTCTGAAAATCCGATGGACCGTATTTAAATAGTTCTTATCTGTGATGTTTTGGTCAAAGTTGTTTTTTGGAAATTCATTGAATGTGCATCTGGTCACCTTTTCATTATAATTCACATTAATGGATTGCTGTCTGTTAAAAAAGGAATTAAGCATGGATTTATTAAAATTCACAGGGGATTGGTTTTGATTGTACTTCATAATCTAAGGCACTCTGTACAAGAATCTCTTATCGAATTTCGTATTTGATATGATGGCCTTACACCAATTGAATATGATGTTTGAATCAAAATACTTTTCAACATCAAATTAAAGTTCTAAATCATACTTATTAAATAATAAGATGTATTTCTTTAATTTCGAATTGAATTCATATAACTCCACACTCACAAATAGGTTTTCCCCATCATAAACAAAGATCTTCTCCGACCCCTTCTACTATTTCTGATCCTATATATAATACACCTTCACATGAACATAACACTATTGATTGTTCCACAACTTCAAGATGTATATGTAATCCAATCTGTCCAGGAATTGCAAGAGCTTCTTAGAATTGCTAACTAATAACACCTTTATCTGATGATAGTTGGGCAGCTAGACCTTTAAGTAGTTGTAAAATCGATGATCCTTCAAATACAAAAATGATGTCGGGGAATACAACACACGAATGATACCAGTTAAGATCTAACATTTTGTGTGCTTATTCATTCTCTAGCAATTAGAAATTTGATGAATTAAGTGTTAGTCATGCAAATACAATATGATAGGCGATTGATTTTGTTTAATATAGATTATCTTCATGAAGTGATTTTGATCAATAAATAGGAACTTCCTTTAAAACATTTCAAAAGTTTAGTATTTATTGTATGTCATGGTTTGCTTATGCAGATCACTCCACTAGTCCTAGAAATCAAAAGCATAATCAGTCACTTGTTCAATCTTACGAGCCTCTACAGTGATTCTCATATCAATTTGATTTATATCCTGAAATAGCTTATTGAATGGCAACAACTAAGCTATCTGATTCTCTTTCTCCATATTTTCATAGCCTCTTCTAATATCATGTTATTCGCCGGGATACACACTGTATTTATACACACAATCGATTTTATTGTATAGACTTTGATGATCCATCTTTTAAATAAAATTATGGGTTTTTGATAGAATGTGAAGGTATTTGGGTTGGATGATGATCTTCCTATTTTTTATATCCAAAGTAAATGCATTTTTCAATACGAGATCAGCCACCTATGAATAAGAACATTATTCTGATATGATGTTTTTAAGTATCTAATCGAAATTGCATTGCTGTATGTCTCCATTTTTGAATGTAGTTTCTTGTAATGCTTATCCCAGTTTACAGAAGTCATCCAATTGCATTTTCAATGGTCGAAAGGCACGCTCACTTCTGGACTGTTTGATGTCTTGAGAAAGTTACTTCTCACTCCATTTAAGGGATTTGTCTCTCTCAAAAACTGATACTTCAATCCTTGCTTTGAAGTAATCCTAATTGAATTTCCAGTCGAAGTGTGAATAATCAACCTCAAAAAAATTAGTTATGGTTTGAAATCCTGTTCTGACTGAATGCTTCTATGCATTAAACAGTAAATCGTCAAAGTGGAATTGGCTTTTGAGTGTCAAATGAAGACTTATCAGACAGAACTTACTGATTTAATTGCATATTTAGAAGTCATAATGATTCAAGAGATCTTGGATGTTGATTGTTGCACATTGTATATAAATGGATTTATGAGAGAGATCATAGATGTCTTCAAGCATCTAATCCTAGAAAAACATGCTATTGTTATGAACAAAACGGAATGCGAGAATTTGATTGAGTATGCTTTTATTTCTTTCAATGAAATCCCTATACCTTGTTGATAAATCCTATGGTTTTTTATAAATGTTACGTCGATATTCTAGGATCTATTGTTCAAGTATTCTTAATTGTAAAATTGTATCATGAACAAGAGGTAAATTCAAGATGTATTAAGTGGCATCAGACAGAAGATTACAGTCTTAAAATTAAGGCAATAACTCATAGACCGATCCAAATATCTTTCGTATTCTCACTATTTGTGATGTCTACAGGTAATTTAGGATTTCCTTAGTATCCACTATCGCATTGATGTCATCTTCAGTGATGTTCTTTCTAGAACGCATTGATAGGCCTTGGATGAAATTCAACTTGTAATTTTTGGCACATCCATACCTAGTTTGATTAAGGAGGGCCAATTGTCCTTTCAATTCTAGATAACTCATCAGATAATCGCGAACAGTGGGCCAGACAGTGATGCAGTTCTAGTCTCCGATATCTTCCTTTTGAATTGCTCCAATTGGTATGTCCAAACGATAGAAATATTAAGACCTGCCTTCGCCTTTAAAAAATAACACAATGCAGGTTCGATCCAATGTAATATCGGAATATTGAATTGACCAAACAACGACGTTTTTGTAGAAGATAGAGACATATCTTATAACAGGATAATATAAAGATTATACTCTCTTAACTAAATAATCATTAGTTTTTTGTATCATTTTTTAGGTTTTGATTCTGTCATAATTTTTGAGAGTATCAGTGACCTTATAGAGTGTGCAAAATAAACCCAAAGGGTTATTAACAGGTTGTCCAGGAGAGGATAGTGGACTATTGAAAGAGGGTGAATTGGCCTTAATAAAATCGATGTCATCCAATCTCTTCTTAAGTGCCTTGACTCTATTGGGATGCACTCTATTGGTTTTGACTTTCTGTTTTGGTTCAACATTTTTTTTATTTAATTTAAACACCTTCAGTCTTAGACAAGCCTAGAGAAATCGAATGCGTTTCAGAACTGGTTCTGAGAACTGAGGGGGTGCCAGACTTTGTTCATAGATCGTTTTTTATTTGTTCAAGAATACTCTGGTTTGTTTTCTCTTGATTATTAGGCCTTCATTCAATCGATGTTATACATTCTTCAATTGAGCCAATTGCTCAGCATTTCCTTGGAGGATTTGAGAGATTTGAAGGGGTTGGGATTGCTGCATGGTGATTTTGTGTAAGATGGCTTTGTAATTTAAGAGATTGAGATATTGATTGGCAATCAATTTGGCCAATCTGAATGAGGTGGGTTTGGAATGTAATTGTCTCAACATCAGGGCATTAACGAGAGTGAAGATGGAGAATCTTCTATCGATTTTGTATCTTTCAGCCAAGTACTCCTGATACCTTTAAGAGTCCAACATTCTTTTTTTTTCCTGCTCCAAAGCCAACTGCTCCTTGTGTTTTCTCTCCAATTCCAGCATCTTGATTCTCTCTGTTTCTTCCTGTTCCCTCCTTATTTTCTCCTCCTTTTCCAATTTCATTTTCTTAAGTTTTTGGTACAATTATGTTTGCTTCTCCTGATTAAATTTTGGTGGTTCTATAGTGCGCAAGTGTCCAAAGTTCTGAACCTGATCCCAAAATACAAGAGGATCAGTCTCAGTCTTGGCTTTATGATGTTTTTATTTGAGTTAAGAAATATCATTCTTAAGTATTGATTACTCAATTATTCTTGAAGTCTGGGGATGGTTGTACCTCGCAGTGGATTTGGGAGTTTGCAAAGTAATACGAAAAGACACATGAGACTATTATCTGGAATCATTTCTACTGGTTGGTCTGGTTGTTTTGAGTAGATCCAAAGTGGGTATTTTGTGTTTCATTAATAAAATTAACGATGTCTGCAAATGCAACCACAACAGCCTTTTTCGGGATGGCCGACGATGCATATATAGATGATGTCTACGATCGCTACATCCGGGATCTCCATATCCGGGATCTCCATCTCCGAGATCTCCATATGCCTCGCAAAACCATTCATATTCCAAAACCCCCCTCCATAGTGATAAAGCATTTGAATGTTAGGAGAATCAATACTGAATACTGAATAATTATCTATATATATTTATCACAATAACTTTTCAGGATTTAGAATGTTATTTGGATCAAATACTCTCTTCAATTCCTACATGTATCCAAAAGTCTCCTTTCCCTTCTATATCTCCATGTAATGTCGCTTCAATTACCCAACCCCGTGTTCAGCACTGATCGATCCATTCAAACTCTTAGTCAACTTGATGATCTTGTCCTCAACTCTCTCCTGCTCCTTGTGCATCTCCTCCACACTCTCAAATATGATGTTGTAATGAATGTTCCCATCTCCCAAATGCCCATAAAACGCATTATAAGGCCCCTTCCTCTCCGGATAGATCTCCTCTGCAAACCACTCAAATTTATCAGGAGGTATGCTACCAATATTCATAATTCACTCACCTCAAATCATACGTCAAAACATGTCCCATCTTATGTAGGTTTTCTGGCACACTCTCTCTCCATCTCCACATAGCCTGCAACTCAGATTCGTTCTGATTGAACACTATCTACTCAGTGTGTTTCAATAAACGCTCAAAATAATACTCCAACTCAATCTACTACCCACAAATCTCAATCAAAACATAATATTTGTCAGCCTTAAATTCAAATGGAGCCTTTAACTAAGGATTAAAAGGCAGACATCTCTACAAGATCCTACCCTCCATGAATTCAAATGCCCCTAATTATTCAAACTATTTAGCCGATCTCAACAATTGAATGGCCTCATCAAACCCCTTCAATTCCAAAAAGAACACCTGTCTCTATTCTGGAATGGGAGCACATAAAACATTAGCTTTCGTAATAATGCCCAAAGTTCCTTCAGATCCAATAAACAATTGTTTCAAATCGGTTCCAGTGTTGTCCTTCCTGTTTTTGTTCAATAAGTCCAAGATCTTTCCATTCGGCAACACTACCTCCAATCCGAGAATATAATTTCTTAAAGGTCCATTCCTCACCACATTCAATCCTCCTGCATTCGTAGCAATATTTCCACCTAATTAGCATGATCCCCTTGCTCCCAAATCCCAAGGCATTTAATCTAATCAATTAGATAAATCATTACATCTGTATGTCTGCAAATAGTCATTCATAGATTATAGAATGACTCCTGACTCAGCTGTAACTATTGATGTTGTCGTATCAAATTCCAATATGTTATTCATCTTTCTTAGACTCAAAATCAATTCATCTTGCACTGGAGTTGCTCCTCCTACAAAACTAGTATTGCCTCCTTAAGGTACCACTTTGATATTATTTTAATTGCAAAATTGCAAGATCTCACTCACCATCTTTGATGAAGTAGGAGTGACAGCCAATTCCGATTTACCTTAATAGAATCTCTGCCAATCCTAATTCAAAGGCTTAAGATCGAATGGATCTGTTATCATGTTCTAGGCTCCCACAATTTACTTGAAAGAATTGAGATATTTTTTCATTATAAAATTAATATGCGTATTCCTTTCATAATAATTTGTTCGGGTTCATAATACCATTCGGATCGAATAGACTCTTTATTTCACTCAAACATCCCAACACATCCCTTCCCTTTTGCAGTTCCATATACTTTCGCTTATGCTATCCAATGCCATGTTCAGCACTGATGCTCCCACCTTGAGATTTCACCAATCCAAACAACTTCTATTCTATTTTATCCTCTTCCTTGTGCAACTCCGACAACGATTCAAACACTATATTGATGTGAACATTCCCATCTCCGACATGACCATAGTATACATGGAATGGACCTTCTCTTTTAGGGTAGATCTCATTGACCAACCATTCAAATTTATCAGGAGGAATGCTTACATCATATTTCAACACATATCCCATCTTGCCCATCGATTCAGCAATCTCCTCCCTCAATTTCCACAAAAATTAAGCTTCCTTTTCACTTTGATCCATTACAATTTCCTCAGTGAATTCCATCATATCCAAACTAAACTAATCCACATTCAAAGATTATCCAGCAATCTCAAGAAGAACGTAATACTTATCCTCTTGAAATTCAAATGGTAGCTTATTCCCACTATGTCTATGCTTATTCTTATGCAGTATTTTACCCTCCATAAACTCAAACGCCAATAGTTGTTCATTCCTCTTCACTTTTTATAAAACCTAATCTATTTAATAAAGCCTTACACCTTAATCACATCCTGAAAGGACTTGAGTTCTAAAAAGAACACCTTCTTCTCATTAGGAATAGGTATACACAATACATTTGCCTTTGTGATAATGCCCAAAGTTCCTTCAGATCCAATAAACAGCTATTTCAAATCAGTTCCAGTGTTGTCCTTCCTGTTTTTGTTCAATAAGTTCAAGATCTTTCCATTAGGCAACACTACCTCCAATCCTAGAACGTAATTCCTTAGCAATCCATGTTTAACCACATTCAAACCCCCTGCATTTGTTGAAATGTTACCACCCAACAAACAAGATCCTCTTGCTCCCAAATCCCAAGGCATTTAATCTAAATTTAGTTATCATATTTGAAACATTTGTATTGGAATAAATAATTATTAAGGTTCTCCAAAATCACTCCAGAATCTGAGGTTATTATGGCTGAGTTTAAATCAAATTCATAAATTTTATTCATTTTTCTCATCGAAATAATTATTTCATCCTTAATTGGCACACTTCCTCCCACCAATCCTGTATTACCAGATTGAGGCACAACTTTAAGTGCATTCTCATTGCAAAATCTAAGAATCTAAGAAACTTGATCAGTTGTTTGAGGAGTCAATACGATTTCTGAAGACCCAACATATTTATTCATCCAATCTGTATTAAAGGGGTTTAAATCCTGTGTTAAAATATTTGTGGTTCCAACAATCTTCTCTAAAGCCAGCTTTATTTTGGAATTCATTTTTATAATTAATGCTTAAAAATAAATATAACAACATTCATTAATTAAGCATAAATTCATATATTTTAAGTGGAGTATATAATTTAGGTTTGAATGTACATTCTGCCATCTCATCCTTTTGTTGCACTTGATGTTTGTGATTGCTAGCAGAATGATTTTATCTAGTGCTGACTATCCTCATCGAATTTTAATTCAATTAAGGCTAATATATTAAACAGCCACTCATACCTAAAATGAATACTCTTCTTGATTCGTCTTCTTTTTGTTTGACAACCCTTTCATCAACTTATCTCTGTCGACTATGGGCAGAGTTTATATCAATCTGGACGCTGCCTCATAGAATTGATGCTGATTTAGTTAAGCATTAATTTATTCCATCTCGCATAACAAGGGCGTTAATATCTATAAGATTTCAGCATTTATAGCTGATATTTCTATTCTTTATGCTGAGATCACTCCATCACCATCTGAATCTAATAAATTGAAAATCTCATAAAGGAATTTCCTCTTTTTCATCTCATAAATTTGATTAGACTTGTCCAAAGATCTTGCTCTTTGGTTCTATTGTTCTTGTCTGTCTTACTCAACCAGAAAATGAAATTTGTCCTCCTTTACTGTTCGCATCTGATACAAATATTCCCCAATTGGTAAATGATCAGCATTACGCTAGAATAAACACTAAGTAATACAGAGAGGGGAGGTCGACATATTTGAGGATGATACAATTTTTGTCCAGTGCTTTGATCGAATTCTTGTTGGGGTTGAAGGGCTTCCTTCTTCTTCCTCTACTCAAAGACAGATATTTGCATCCTTTCTAAGAATGGAATTTCAGTTTTGCTATGCTTTCTTGAACTCTATTGATTGAATAGTTAACTTTGAGATTGGCTCTCAGTATTGTCCATGTTGCTCAAACGCTTTACTTTGGATTGCATTCCCTCATTATACAATCTATCATAAATGTTGGATTGCGAATTTCTTGATTTCTCCATGAGTATTTTTTGACTTCTACATACGTTGATATTGATTAAAACTACATCTAGTTTATGTTTGGGCGAAATGAACACTCCTGTGTTTCTATTTGATATCTACTCGTCCGCATTTGATCTTTGTGTTTGCTCATATCCTTGCCCATCTGCATCAAGTAGTCAGGCATTGATTGCTTATGCGGTCGTTTGGCTATGAGTTGGCTCCTCTCGCTGATGAACGGCTTAAATGGATACTCCACTTACGATTGCTCCAACTTCTTCTAATCTTGCAAACGTCTAATGATATTAATAAAAAGGGGGAGGATACTCCATCTATTCTTTGTGTTGGATTCCCTTCTGATACAGCACGTCTCCAGGGTTGTAATTGAGAACTGGAGATGGGATGTTTCCCCTTTGACTGAGTTATTGATTAGCAAATTAGATTTGTTTCCTTTGCTGTTTGATCTATGCTTCTTTGTGCAATCTATCGAAGATGTTGTCTTGCGATTGAGGTTTATTGATCGTCATTTATTTAAGGTGATGCCAAATGGTTTCCTCGATCATCGGAATAGCCTCATTTTTTAAATTATGTTATTGGACAAAATCATATGCCAATTGGGCAGGGTCAGAATCCCTGTAAACTTTGAGTGTTTCCTTGATATGAATCTTAGTTTTACTTGTTTCTTTTCGCCCAAATCAAATACAATTTACAAAATTTCCTGCATTTCGTTAAAAAATCAAATAAAAATATTATTTGAGAATTCAAATTAACAAATTAGTTTGTAATAATTATTGGAATATAATAGTATAGGAGGACGAACAAAATAACAACCGTGACTCTTCTTGTCCATAATTTGATCTTCGTATTAAAGAGACAATTTCAACAATAATAATTAAAAAATATATCAAAATTAAATTGTGTTATTATAATGTTTGAGAGTTCAGTTGATTCGGAATTCAAAGGACCCATCCCGCCTTTATTGAGCAGCAGAGTTGGGTTTCAGGAAGGAGATCTTCAACAATATAGTTTGAGCAGTTTTCATCAACAAATTCCAATGTCTTTGGTCAGGTAAAAGACTTTTGGAGTCAAGAAATCTGAAAATCAGTCTGCTTATGAGAACGAAGAAATTCAATATGGATCTAAGCCTTAATTTTTAAAAACAATCATTGCCAAGAGTTTGCAGAATAACTTCATAAACAATTTGTGGAATAGATCATATTTGAGAAAATTAAATCAATTAAGCTTTTTTTAAATTTAATAATTGGACGACCTCCAGATGGTAAGTGAGGGAAATGAATATAGCAAGGCCTCTCAATTGTGGATTATGGTGGATGTATTTACACCATACAGCAAATTCATTGCATGTTGGGATGCATTTCAAATTATTACGTATCTCCTTATTTTCTTTTGGTTGCCTTACAAAATATCATTTGAAATTTATCACATTAGTGAATTGTTCTCTGAGACCAAAAGTGGTACCATTGAATACCTGCTGATGATGATTTTGGCTTTGGATATCGGGGTGGGCATGAATTTAGCTTTTATTGAAAAAGGACAAATAATCAAGGACAGAAAAAGAATAATTGTAAACTATTTCAACAAGAATGCATTTGTCGATTTAGTAACTATATGTATATATTTATGCGGTTTCCTTTTTCACTGTGACTGTCCAATTCTTTGTGCCGAGTCTGAGTTCCAAAGACTACACCATGATCTTGATCTAGTCAATCCTCTGCGTTGTCTTCTATATATTGCGGATAACCAAAATAAACAAGATCCTAGCTCAAATTTAAGAGTACATAACTAACATCTTATTTAGGTTCTTTAATCTAAGTGGCTATCTAAATGATTTAGTCGGTCTATTGAAAGTTCTAATGGTTATCGTGAGTGTTGTACACATATGCGGTTGTCTTTGGCATGGGATAGCCTATTACAATAGTTCCTTTTCTTGGCTGGATGCCTATAATTTGAGAGATAAATCAAATGCGTCTCAATACAATGTGGCCATTTATTGGGCTACGATGACGATGACCACAGTTGGATATGGAGATATCACAGCCAAGAACGACTTGGAATTACTCATTAACAATTTAACTATGTTTATAGGGTCGATTGTGTTTGCATATTCAGTCAATAGCATTGGAATATTTGTGTCTAACATGTACAAAGGCACCATGGAGTACAATAGGACTGTTAGTTTAATAAATACCTATATGAGTAAAAATAAGATACAATTTGAATTACAGACCAAAGTAAGGAGTTACTTAGAGTACATTTGGCAGGAGGAGTAGGAAATGAATGATGATGAGGTCGGATCCATTGTTAATAAGCTTAGCAAACATTTACAAGATGAATTACAGTATCAATTAAGAGGGAACATCTTAAAGAATTGTAAAATAATTATGAAGTTATTTTCTGAATCCTTCATCAAGAGTCTGCTACATTACATGGAGGAACAAGCATACTCACCAGAAGAAAGAATTATCACTGTAAGTTCTGTTGAAATATTATAAGATTAACGAACTGGATGATTGTTCCCTCTACGTTATCACCAAAGGGGAAGTTGAGTTGATCTTCGAAGCCAATTAGGTCAAAGAAAGGGTCAAGAGGAATACATTCCAAAATTACAATTAATTTGACTGCTTTGGAGAACTGGCCTTTTTTACTGGAAATTCCAGGACTGCCACTGCAATCTCAAAGGGGTTTACTAGAGTATTCAAAATATCCAGAGCCAAATTCTTAAATGTCATATCTTCTTATCCAGATGATTATGAAAGGTTTTGTGAAATCAGAGATCGCATTATAAATGGCGATTATGGAGCCTTGTCGCTCAACTGCTTTAGTTGTCAAAGCAATTCTCATCTAATTCAAAATTGTAATTACTTGCATTTTTGTGCTGACAAAGAAAAGATCATCAAAAAAGAGTTTTATCCTGTGAATCAAAGAAGATCTTAAAGATATTCCAGAAGGGATATGGGTAAGTATAATGCATGGACCAATTTCTAATTGAATTCAACTCGTGGACAAGATTTTCAGAATGATGCTTATGCAAAAGGTTACGACGATGGCGACTCTCATACCTTGTAAATGAATGATGCATATGAAGATGAAGAAGTACTGATGGAATAAGGTAGATTTCGACATGATTTTTAGTTGAAAATAATGAAAATAGTATATCTGGTACAGCTTTCTAAAATGCTGATGATGACGACGGTTAAAACGCAACCATCAATTACTATAGAAAATCCAATATACCTAAATCAACTTTGTAAACCGCAGGTTTTGGAGGGAGTCTAACCAAAGATTGTAACCATAATCTCATTATACATAGCTTATAAAGACGACTTGCTTAATTCAAAGAATCTTTCTGAAACTCAAGACTAATTCGTATTGCCTCACACAAAGCCCTAACTTACCTTGATTCAATAGAATAATCCTCGACCTTCTCTTGCTTTACCACAACCCCAACTTAAAAAGTAATTATCAAGAAGTGCATCTAATGAAGACCACAATCATCAGCCACATAGGTTGTCAATTGATTAAAAGTTGATAATGGTTGCTCCATAAAAATCAGATATGGATATTAAAAATCTTGCTAACAATCCCAGAGTACAAATGAAAAGAACTACAACAAATAATAATCAGACACTCTTTACAGAGAATAACACTCAAAACAATTAACATATGAGTACCCAAACAATAGCCCCGATGTTACCTGGCTTTGATAAAATGCATATCTTTTTAATCTATTAGCCATTACATAATTATGATATGGTTATAAAGAGGTAATTAATCTTTTAACACAATAAATTTAGATATGCGAAAGTTTAACGATTCTTTGGTAAAAAAAGATTGTATCCCGAATATTCTGTTTACTCATTCTTCTTTATGGCCATCAAAAAAGGTTGGAAGCTAAGAAGACTTGGAGAAACATCCAAAAATGCAAAGAGTCCAATGATGATGAGGAGTCTAAGGAAGATTTAAAAACCTTATTAAGGCATTCAAAAGTAACGAAGTAACTTTTTCAAGGAAGTCAATTGAAATGTTTTGTTATCAATTCAATAATAATTGATTATTTTATAAATATAATTAATAGAAATGTCAGAAGAGTATAAAATGCTATTAAAATCCTAAAATACAAGTCAATCATTTTAGAGACTACTATAAGATAAGCTTGGCAATTAAGAAGTATTACTTACGACAATCTGCCAATTTTCTAAACTACCTGTGACTATACCAATCAGACATAATCCTACTGGATACATTCATTGCGTATTTGAATTAGAATGTTGGCTTGAACATTATTCATTAATGTATAAAAAGGTCGAACCTAGGTATGCTATTCATAATACTTCAAAGTGGTTTCGCTTGTCCTGGATGCAGAAAGTTTGCAAATTTTAAAGAATATGGTGTCGATTACACTTTCTATCATGTTTTATAAGCGCTAGAACTCTTCAAGATAAGGAACCCTGATATTTAAATAAATGCATCTCAATTGATATACAAGCATAGCAACAAGAGCTATTATGTTGAAGAAAAAATAACTAAGAAAAGATTTTAATTTGCAGGCTCAAATCCCGTATTGGGAGTAACTAAAAGACAACAGGGACTTAATCTAGAGTTAACTTCGCCAGAAAACGCTTTGATTGCAGATGAAATTAGTTAAACATTAGTGAAATTGCAATCATTAATTTATAGTAGAATTTAAAAGACACTTAAATTACCTAATAAATCTTAATTGACTTTTAAGGATTTACAATCTTAAGTTGCACTTAGGAAGTTTGACCTTAAGTAGGTCTTGACTAAATCCATGAAATTAATATCTTTGGGAAAACAATCCTTGTAAAAAGATTATGTCTTTGCATTCAAGAAGATAACTACGAACAATCAAGTTTAATCAATAGTAATAATACAATTTTATGTAGCTAATTGTTTATTTGGTGTAATATGGTATTTGGTACGAGTTTTCATTAAAGTTTAAAGGATAACCGTATGTATAGTTAGAATAGGCACTCTACATCAAAGGGGAGGGAAGCCTTACTCATAATCACATATATGTGATTGGAGGAAGAAAGGCGGAGAGAGGTTAGTAGTCTGATTAAGTACTTTAGATTTCCTTCCCAAAATCTATGATTTAGAATGGATAAGAAGCAAAAATAACGGAATTGCCTAAATTGCCAAAGGAAGGTTATAATTTCATGGGAACATGCTATAAATAGTAATATCAAATTTATAATCATTAGATTGCTATTTGTATTCTATGGTCAGAAGTAAATATAACATTTTGATAATGCAATTCGACATGAATTATTGAATTGTTAGTATGTATTTAGGAACAATCGTTGGGAAGAGCTGAAATTAAAACTTGTGGAAAGGTTTGATGGAAGCTTCTTCACAATTAGTCACTTTGCCTTTGATAAATTGATTGTATTCTTTGGAGGGGTCTCTAGAGAGCCTGATAGTTTCGGAAATCACAGAGGACCTCAATAACACTTGGGTTAGATATTTGCTTGTAAAGAGGAAAAGTTTGTTGGGGAATAAAAATAGGATTTTTAAGTTAAATTCCTTGATGATGATCCATATCATAGAAGTGTGTTGGCAAATCCTGTATTTAGTTGTCCCTATTATGGAACCAATTAATTGCTATTATCTGGAGAGAGCATGAAGTTCAAAAATACTGATCAAAGACAAGTCTACACATTTGATTGGGGTAATGCAACTCTAAAAATGAATGATTTATTCTCTTTGGACCCTCCAGAGCACGTGCTCACTCCATACAAAAGAAAAACAATTGGTAATGACATCTTCAGTCCTGTTCAAGATTCTGAAGGTGCTCTAGCTTACGGGAATTTCTTTATAATTCAACACTATGAAGCAGAACAAGGATATTATGATAAAAATCCAAAAATAATAACATAATTATTGAAAGTCAATTTAACAAATGGATCATGTAAATAGATAAATTATTTTAGTTGTTGCGATTCCATATTTAGATTCTAAGATCTCTAAGGAAATAGCTGATCAAATTTATGAGAAATTGGAAGACAAGAAGAATCAAGAAATTTGATTAATAGTCAATTTTTTTTATTTTAATATTTTATTCATTCACAATTTTCCGTCTTTAATTTGTTTGTTTAAACTTTGCAATCTATTTTTCTTAATTTCTTTTAAGGTTTCCTCATCAATTTAGGGTTGATTCCCATTTTTTTAATTAGAAATCTTTTTAAGATGTTCTATTTCCAACTCCTTAAACTTCTTCATCACTTCTTCCCTCTTGTCACTCTGTAAACCCTTCATCTTCTCTATATTTTGAACCTATTTTCTAAATTCATCCTTGACTGATTGAAATTGACTTTGCATGCATTACTAAATTTAATTATCAAATAAATAATATACATCATATATTTTTCTTCTTTACTGTAAGATTGCTTTATACTTCATAGCAATTTCAAATTACTCATTCTCTGTATTATTAATTGAATCAGTGCATTTAGTAATCAGATCCTCAGTCTTCTATTGGAATTACACACTCTGCTATTTTTAATATTCAACTATGTCTAGATGAGTCTGCATCAAAGCATCCTCTAACTTAAACAATGACTTAATTAACTCTGATTCCTAAGCAAATTACTTTAAAATAATTGATTTAATTTGTTCTTCATCATAGGCTTATTTTTCTGCTTGTTGCTATTGAATTTATTACTGTTGAATTTACTAAACTTATTGTTATGATTATTGCTTATCCATCTTCTCTTATCTCTATTGCTCTTTAAATTACTGCTCAATTTGTAACTGCATCTTGGATTAACTATTTTATTTCTTGAGAGTCTTTTTGATGTCTTCATTCTCTTCCCTTAATTAAACAATCATCTCTTAGAAATTGTTAGGTGTTGGATCAATATTCCTAGTTCTGTGAGCATAAAGGAGTGTATTAAATGAATCCTCATAATTGTTGGGAGCAACATTAGCGATCATGACAGTTTTAGAATTGCCTTGGAGAGCATCCTTTAAAAGTCTCGTCAACTTGCTGCCTCTAAAAGGCACAAATTATTCCTTTGAGAATAAGGCCTTGATGCAATTGCCAAGAACTAAAAGTGATCGATTTATCATTGCTCCCTCAACCATTCTTTGTCCTTTGTTAGTGGTTTGGGAAGCTCTTTCAGAACCAGCCAAATCAACAAAGGTAAAGGTGCATTGCTTTAGCATCAATTGCAAAACTGTGTGAGAACGTGTAGAGTTCTCATTAGCACCTGTTGGCTCCTTTGCTCTTCTGCTGTTCCCGTATTTGATGTATTGGTTTATATCATTAAGAGAGGGGACAGGCGCTTTGAATAAGTTCACAACCACCAATCCCTTATTGCCATCTTCTCTCAAGTCCAAAAGCTTCCCAGTTAAGAGATCTCGAATAGTTTCATTGTATATTTCTAAGAAGGTGAGTGAGGCCTAGAGATTAGGAATGTTGATACTTGAGCTGCTTATTCTTTTGACAATCGACCAAGCAAATCATTCAAAGCTCTTGGTATTATGCCTTGCTGATTCTGGCTTCCCATCATGCTATAAGAAATTAGGGATGATAAATATACGTATGAGTTTTGCCGCTTCCTGTTGCTCCATATGCAAAAATAGTTACATTTTAACCTGAAATAAGATCATCGAGAAGGGGTTCTGCTGATTTTTCATAGACTTCCTTTTGATCGGCTTGTTAATCAAAGACAAGGTCAAACTCATAAGATGCATCTTTAATTCTATTCTTTTTCAGGATCTTTAGGATGTAAAATATAATATAGAAATGTCATTTTACATCGACAGGGTTATTGAATTCTAATTCTGGATCAAGCAGAGTGACCGTGGAGCCATTTAACAATAATGGTTTTGAAACTTTATTAAACTGGCTTGACTCTAATGGCAACAGTGATATTGTGCATAATTTAAATTGAATTTTTTAATATTTACTTATTTATTCAATTGCTTGAAAATTCAAAGACTCCCCTCTTGGGAAAATTGCTCAACAAAGTAGGTTCTGGCTGGTAATCGAGCAATTGAATGGCTTCCCCTTCAGCTAATAAATGCTTAAAATACTAATTACCATAACTAATATCGATTCCCTAAGCTTCTTGGAATAGATGAATCTTAAAAACATCAATACTACTTTTTGGAATCCAATAGGCTGCAGCTTAGAGTCCTAATGCAACAAAAAGTGCCCATAAAACCAATACAATGATTCCTACTATTTATAATCCCAATTATTTGAAACCATGCCCAGTCATCAAACCATGGGTAAGACTTAGAAAACCAACCAGAATGGTTCCCAAGAGACCAGGACCCTAAAGAATAAAATTAGTAGCAATACCAAGTGCGAAGCAATAGTGTAAGCAGGGTCATCAATGGGAGATCTCTTTATTACAAGGATGAGAAAAATATAAACAATTCCAGCCAAGACACCAGTAAAAGCAGATTACCAGATTCGAACATCATCAGCCATAGCTGAAATAGCAACAATTCCAGCCACACTACCTCTGGATAGAGCAATTAAGCTTAACTTGAGAGTCTGCTAGTAGTATAAAAAGAAACTAGTGAGAGCTGAGAATGCAGATGCTACGATAGTGTTGGTTGCTATCAATCCCTAGTTGTATTTATCAAATTTTCCTTCTGAGTTAGCTCCATTAACGAATATTAATATTGCTATTGTCAGAATAAATGATCCATATCCAATATAAATTTGAGAATGATGTAGGAAAATACTTGGATCTACATAGCCTCTTTTACCTCGTCTCTCCTTCAAAAATATTGAAACAACCAATGCTAAAATACCACCAAACAAGTGGATATAGCTTGCTCCTGCAAAATCCACAAATCCTATGGTATTCAACCATCCTGTAGGTTAGACCCAATGAAGTGCTATTGGATACAATATTGCTGTGATGAATGCTAAACATACACTAACAGAAAAGTATCTAGATCTCTCTAAGGTACCCAATCCAAATAGAGATGCAACTATTACAGCTCCAACTGTTGAGTGGACTAAAGTATAAAAAAAATCTATTACTGAAATTTGAATAATCGTCTTTCTAGAATTCAGCAGAATATCCTGCTCCTGCAAATTTACCAAAACCAATGAATTAATTTCCCATTTCATCTCCAAATGCAAAACCATATCCTATCTATCAATTATTTATTATTTTATTCGTTACAAGCCAAAAAAAGAAAATGGTTATAACTGATCCCAATAGCACTGTTATCACTGATGATTGAACTGATTTATAACGAACCGCTCCCGAACCTATAAATGCGAATCCTAAAATTGTTAATTAAGCACTGAATGATGTTATCATAACCCAATCTATATCAGGATGACTTGGAGCTGGGATACTCCTATATGCAACTGCAAGGTCCATCGCCTTAAATATATTAATTGCAGGACGTAAATACATTAAAATTCATTAGTATAATTGAAAATATATATATAAATAAATCCATTACGATGCAATATAATAATTATAATTATTTAGTCAATATGCAAACTCTTAAAGAAGGAACCAACAATAATTTTCATTTACTATTTCACAATCTTAAGCTTTAAATCTTAAACCCTGATTCAATCCTTTTAGAGTTATTAATGAACTTCCACTTCCATTTTACAAAAAATCAAAAGTTGATATGACATTTTCTCATTCATTAGTTATTGTTAAATTATACTGACTCAGATTCTACTTAATTATCAATCTCCTGTAGTGGAAGATTGCCAAGACTGAAACCCCAAATATGAAAATACCTCATTAATCTGAGAATTAGCTCATGTAAGATGGGTTACTTTAAATTTTCAAATAACTCTTTCAAAGCATTACTTAAATACTTTGGAAAAATTTATTGTTATTGAATCTAAAAGCTTATCTATATACCGATAACAGGAAATTTGTCAAAGATCTTTACAATAATTTATTCGATTCCTTAGACATCTTAATAAATTACAAACCATTGAGATATATCTGAATTGTGACTATATAATTTTTATGATATTTTAATACCCAATATAATATCAGAAAATAACAGAAAATTTTGGTTTATATATTGTAATTTCTTTTTTGGAAAACTTAATTAAAGAATTTCAATAAGAGTAGATGAATTACCTCAAGATCCCTTTGATTAAGTTTGGAACAACTATCAATCACATTAGCTTATAATAGATTGTGGAATCTCCGCAAAAATGCGCTTAAATATAATTAGAAGATTCGTCATTCAACATTTACTCTTGTAATTTCCCAGAACTTTGTAGGAACATACTCATTAATAAGAACCTGATTTTGTTAATTCAATATGAAGAGTTGATCGAATTCGATGACAAAATATAGAATATATTCAATTTAATACAATTTGCTTAGTAAGCATAATCAATAATTTAGAGTCAAGAAAGTCTTGTGTTTCATTGTCTTGGCAGAACCAATTAAGAAATGCCAATGGAAAATGGATATTGTCAAAAAGTATATTGACGTAAGTGTCTCAAACTTTAAGTTTTCTAATTATACCCAGCCTAACTACAATATATAATCTATCCATTCTTAACAAAGCATCTTTAATTCACTACGCTTTTTCTAAACTACCCCCAAAGAACCAGATTTTAATAAAACTAACGATACTTTAATGTAAATTATATCTCGAAACAAAAACGAATTAGAAGTTGCTCTCATCTAAGGAATTGCAATTTAATCTGATTTTTGCTACCTTGAAAATTAAACTGCGAACAATAAACCAATCTAATTAACTGAAATTGAAGGCAAATTAAATTATATCAATTCCAATGAAGATCAGCAAATCTTTCGACTCAAAATCAATGATGATTCAGAGTTGAAAGAGCAATCCTTCCTCTCAAATACTATCTTTTCTGTTAACAAATTCAATCCCTAGATATTATTCAATCCTCAATTTGATTCAATTGAAAAACGATACGAATTCTATACAAATTATCGAAAAACTTCAGACTGGTCGGTCATTATTGGAGGGGGGCAATGTATATTTTATAGAAGTATATGTAGATGATATCAAAAACATAGAGTTTGCTACACTTAATGAAAATACCTTAAAGTTAACTTTATCAAGCTCACAGTTTATTTGTACTTAAAAGTTTTCAACAAACGAGGGTTTCAAAATCAATAGTTAAATTCTGTATATAACTTTATATTAACTCTAGAATACTTAATAAAACTACCGAGGAGATCGTTGTCTTTGGGTTAGTTGAATCAGATAACTTTGAAATCAAGCTCAATCAAAATAAGAACCCTAAACAAGAATTACAATTGATGGAGTAGTTCCATATTCCAATCAATGACGAAGACATAATTTAAAATATAGCTAGAGGAGAGCTGCTACAAAAAGGAAACCATATTGCTAAATGTAGAATATGCTTGGAAAAGTTGTCTGATACTCTGTTGGTTCCGTGTGGTCATTTCCGTTATTGCTATGATTGCTAGGCTGAGATTTAAGAATGTCTTTATTGCGAGACCAAAATTTAAACAAGGAAGAAGCTTGAAATCAAGTTAATAGATCAAAATAAAAATGATCTATTAAAGGAGTTAATGTGGAAACATTAGGATTTATTGAAGTGTTCATTTTAGTAAAATTTGAATATTGAGCAAAATCTAAAAATTAATACAATGTAGAATGAAATCAATTTCTCTTAATATTATTGCTAAAAATGTAATAAATCAAAGGGAACTGAATTTGCATATTGCAATAAAAGTCATTTAATTTCATATTGTTTAGAATGCTCAAAATAAACAATAAAATGTGAATATATGAATTGTAATGAAAATGTCATTTGCGCAGGACAAATAAAATTTAGATTTGATGAGTGATATATATATTTATATTTTGATTAATAAAATATTGGCACAATTAAATTACTCTTTAGTATTTAATTTGAATTTTAATACATCGTAAATTCTCGATTAAATTGAAATGAATGATTAAAATTTCTATATTTCAGACTTCAATAGCTTGATCACATAAAATCTCTAGTATATTTATCATATTGTGTTTTAAACTCAACCAATATTATTCACCAGAATGTAAGTCAGCCATATTTTTATAAGTTTTAAACGCTTTTCAAAATTTAACTCTCCATATAGACTATTATGATATAATATAGGTAATCTTTCAAATGAAAGACAGTTAGATTAAATTTCTTCTTTTGTATATAATTTAACATTTTTATCTCTATGTATGCAAATTTTATCAAATAATTATTCAATTCATTGTAAATTTTCAATATTAATTTTCATATTATCCAGTATCCTGATCACATTTTATCAAAGATTTCTAAAATGTAATTAACTATCCATCATTTTTATAATTAAGTTTTTGTAATTTATTAAAACAAAAAGTTTGAAAATAAAGTCTTCAAATCCTTGAGAAATATGAGGTTTAAATGAAATGATTCTATATTTATCCTCTTTAGATGATAGTTCTGCTCTCCTTAACGGTAAGGCCATCTCAATTACATTAAAATATCATTTTATTTATTTGTAAATGTGTAATATTATTAATGTTAATCAAAATAATCTTGGCTTTGGTGCACATTGGTTTTTCAGTGGTCTTCGACGTTTCTGAGTACAAAATGCCCCTTTATGTGTTGTCAGCCATTTTAACCATGATTGGGATCTACAATTCAAACAAAGAGTTCGGATTCTTATTATATACCTTTATCACATTCGTCAATACATTTATCAAAGGATTCTTCCTTGAAGTAAGTATAACTCTATTCGTAGATGTATTTGCATAATAGACATTCGTTGCTTGACCCAAAAACATTGAAATTGGCATTCTATGTGTTCATTATAACTATAGTTTTGGGGAATCCTTTTGTAATAAAGAGAATCTCAAGTTTTCTTGATTCTCATTACACCTTAAAATTCGGATTGAACTTGTCTGACAAGGTTTCTTAATGTATTACGCTGTCAAATTGTTATCATCATGTTTTAAGTCAGCCAAATCCAAGTATGGTTGAATTGGCAGTGATAACAACAGTGGGATTCTCAATAACGAATTTAGTGATCTATTTCGGTTTGTTGGAATCGAAATCACAAGTAGAATCAATTAAGATTATGCGATAATCAACAATAGACAATTTCATCACGTATTCGTTTGCAATAGCAAATGTGTATGCCTGGAATTTCCACTTGAAACCCCAGCTTAGTGTATAGTCCAACAATGTGAACGACATAAGAACAGTGGTCAGTGTTTCATTCATTGTGATTTATAGTAAAATGTAATTCAACTATGAATAGCATTATTGTCGATGTTGCATAGCAAACATTAGAAAAAGGAGAAAAAAGAATGATGAGGAATAAATAATATATTATTTTCGGATTATTTAACATGATCTGTACATATAATTTAATTCAATAATAAATTAAAAATGAGTCGTGCAGTGTTACAACCTTTTGAAGTTTATCAGAAAGCAAGAGTTTAATTTGTGTAGACAGTGGCTGAGTTAGCAAAAAGACCATAAAATATTGAGGCATTGCAATCAGCAGGTAATGAAACCGTAACCAATCTTATAGGTGTGATGTCCTTATTGAGACCTTTGCTCTTAGATTGTGTGCCATCAATTCAATAATCAGCAGCCTTGGCATTGGGAAGATTGGCCAAGCATTCAGAAGATTTGGCTGAAGCAGTTGTTTCCAATGAAATATTGCCATAATTAGTGAGTTCGTTGGGAGAACAAAATCGTTTCTACAAAAAGGCTGCAGCATTTGTACTTAGATGCGTTGCTAAACATTCTTCAACTTTGGCAATGGCAGTCGTGAATTCTGGAGCCTTGGAAGCTTTGGTCTAGTGTTTAGAAGAATTTGATCCAAGTGTCAAAGAAGCTGCAGCCAGTGCTCTTCGTTACATTGCCAAGTAAGTATCACACATATTCTGTCTAGACACACAGCAGATTTGGCTTAGGCTGTGGTAGATGCAGGAGCAGTTCCATTATTGGTGCTCTGTATTTAGGAACCAGAAACTACATTGAAAAGAGTATCAGCTGGAGCTCTATCAGAAATTTGTAAGCATTCAGCCGAATTGGCTTAGAATGTAGTTGATGCAGGTGCTGCACCATTTCTCAGTGCCTTGATTCCTCATCATGATGCTGAGTTGAAGAGATCTGTTTGCTTTTGTTTGGCCAATATAGCTAAACACACAATAGATTTGGCAGAAGCTATTGTAGATGTTGACATCTTCCCCAAAATCTTATATAGATTGAAAGACACTGACCCTGGAGTTAGGTACATCCCATTGATCTAATAGATAGAAAAGCTGCAGCAACATGCATTAGAGAAATCGCAAGACAATCTTAAGACCTAGCTAAAATGATCTGTAGTGCAGGAGCTGTTGTGTCTATTGTTGATTACATCAATGAGGCCAAAGGAGATGCACGTTTACCAGGCATCATGACATTAGGGTTCATCGGAGCCTTTGATGAAGCATTGGCCATGGGAATCATTGCAGCCAAAGGAATTGCCCCATTAAAAGATGCTCTAATAAAAGAACCTGATCAATCAGTCAAGAGTGCTTCTGCTTGGTCTCTTGGAATGATTGGTGGACATTCAGCCGATCATTCAAGAGCCATGGCTGAAGCTGATGTTCCATCCCATTTGTTAGCTGTAAAAATGCTCCTCACATCTTAAGGTTTATAAATTCCCTGATTCCAGTGAAGATCTCAAAAAGAAATCAAGTTAAGCTTTGAAATCCATATTATAAATGTGCACTTACTTGCCTGCTCTAGAACCATTAATCTCAGAAGCTCCCCCTGATATTTTATAATATGTCTTGCATCAATTCCAAAAGACTCTGCCCTAATGATAATGCTGCCAAAAAAGTATACAATCCCTTATATCATCTTTAGACAGTTTGTTTTGTCAGAAGGATTAAAGAAAATCCAAGAAATCAAAGCAAATCCTGGCTCCAAGTTAAGACAATACATCGACGAAATCAATTCCTTTTATCCACCAGAAATCATCCAATATTACAGTGCTGGATACGAATAGTAATTGCTTAAGAAATTGGACGATTACAATGCAGATTGATCATCTATAATATTAATCCAAATATATATTATATTACAATTTAGCAACATTATTAAATTCATTTATGTATAAAAACAAATAATAGTAATACTCCCATCCCACACAACTGATTCCTTCAGTTTGTACTCTAAATACTCAAGAAGAGGATCCGTAGGACTATTAACTAATACAAAGAAAACTTTAATGCTATAAAGATAATTTGAAAATAATTCAAAAAAATAACGAAGATGATCGCAAGTATTTGTCAACCTCTTCAGATGTACTGTAATTGACTGAATCATAAGAAGATGACTGTGAATCATTACGATAGCAGATCAACTTACTTCAAGATGAATTAAGTAGAACAAAATAAAATATGATGCAAATAATCGAAGATCTCACTCAATAAAAGGATTTGCTCATCTATAAGATTTAAGAATTAGAGTCTACTATTGACAGTTTATAACAATAAAAGCAATTTCGAAATAAATCAATGCACTCTACATTATTGGACATTACCTATGAATAAGATTAAACTTAAGATTATAGTAGAAAAAGGACTAGATCCAAATATGATGATTAGAACTGTTGGAAAAGAATTTTTGAGGAGTTAGCTGAAATTTTAAAAACAGAAAATGTTATACAAGAAGTTCATAGATTATAATAAAAGTGCATTAAATAAGACAAATTTATTGGATGTGTTTAAGACTTAGTAATTAAATTAACTCCAAAGGATATATTTCAGCATTCCAAACCTTAATTACGAGATTGCTGGCATTGGATAAAGGGCATATGCACAGAATACATGAATCTAAAAAAGATGTAGGCTAATGTTATAGTTGAAACATGTTCGTAGATTCTCAATGTCCAACCTTAAGACATAGTTAGTTAAATTCAATTTCTTATCAGAAGAATAATAGCATAAAAGAATTGATATTGTTATTTTTGTTTTAAATAACCTTCTAATAAAAATTAATTATTTAAAAAATAATAGTCTAATATTTCATTTTTGACTAGTGTTTGTTAATATATAAAACGTATATATTATCTGGGTTGAATAACATAAAAGTATTTGAATGATTAAAATAAAGAATGCTTAAATCCAGAAATTATTCTAATTAAATAATAATACTTAAGACTATTGAAAAATAATTAAAACAATATTAACTTGGACAAAATAAATTATCATTATCTTAATCTAGCTCGTTATCCATATTCTACCATTATGAATTAGTGCAGATAATTATTCTGATATTGGTAATTCAATCGTCTCTCGATTTTTAGCTTTTTTATCTGGATGTTGTCATATCCTAGTTTAACGTATTTACCAATATCAAGGAGTAAATTAGAGCCTAATATAGAAGTGAACAGTGCTATATGTGCCCAACCAAGTAATAACATTTTTTCGTCATCTAAATCATAGCTATAAACATAGAAAGAACAAATTGTAGAAATGAAAAGGACTTCTCGTGAGACTAATTTTATATACTCAAAACCAATATCCATTGGCTTGAATAATATCAAATACACCACATAAAAACTAGATTGGGCTGATAAAACAAATGATTATGCTTCAGGATAATCCATTAAAAATACAATTGAAAAAATATAAGTTGTTATCTTTAACATTTAAATAGGCTTTAAAATTTAAGACCAAAATTTTTTGTTTATCCCATCAAAAAAGAATTTCCAATCATTTATATTCTTTATAGATCCTGTAGTAATTATAAATTATTAGAATTCTACAAATAAAATGAAACCTAACGCTAATATTGCATTTAATGAATTAACAGCCTCAAATAATGATGTAAATGTATAATTAGGAAATTGGAGGAATGCACTAAATAAAAATTGATGCATAATTGTGTAGTAGACTTGAAACAATCCAGAGTAAAAGTATTAATTTCTGTATTTTATGCATGCTACTTATAAGTTATGGTACAGTTAAAAGACCTTAGTTAAATTCCTTAATTTCATCCCTTTTTGAATGATAATTTTATTGAAATAGTTTAAGGCACTTGTTTTAGAGAATATGAGGCATACTACATAAGACAAAAAAGAAGCAACCAGTGAAAAGTAACAACTTTTAGCATTCATAATATAAAACTGATTTAAAGGGTCTGCTTAACTGGAGGGTTAGTTTTTTCTAGGTTGGAAGGGTAATTAGCCACCATTTAGATTTGTCAATATTTAATCTAAATTAAGGTAATCTAATACAGGTTTTAAGGAAATCTTGGTATAACTCTCAAGAAACTAGCGCAGATGAGATGGAAATTTATATTGCATAAATCGAATATAAGAAAGCTGTTATAGTAAATCTATTAGATTGAATAACATGGCTGGAGTTCCTGTTAATAGAGCAAAGCCAGATATAGCTATCGTAGTATACATCATAGCATCATTCATTTTAACAATAGAAGTGACATATTCTTTGCTTTCTTTGGACATCACAAAAGGACTCCCTAAACTAATTAATTTTTCCAATTTTTTTAATTCCATTTCATTAGCATTAAAAATTTATTGTTTAGCAAAACTAATCTGAAGCATAGGGTTCTAGATAGGTTGTTAAAACAGAATTTTAAATTAATATTTAGGATTGCTTATCATTGTGGTTAAATTAGTTATAGGGACAATTTTCATTTCATATTCAGTTTAAGGTGTAATAGTAAATTTGCTTATGTCTTCAAGAACAGTATCTTAGAACATTTTGACTTTTTCAGTGAAGGTTAACTCAATGATTTGTGTTTAATCTTTAGCATCACTCAAAGATCGAAGGTTGAAATCTGGAAGGATGATGAATGAGCATATACTGAATGAATCTTCTGTATTTAAACAAATAAAAGAATCCTCCAATTTACAATAAGATGAGCAACCATCTCCACTATTCTTGTTATTGTCATCGCATTCCTCGTATAAGCTAGCAAGCATTCCATTACCACACAAACTTTCACATTTTCCATTAATTAGTATAAAATTGTCATTACATAATATCTCTTCTGTCTGTACTTCGTCTTAACCTTCCTCTTCCTCTTCTCCTTCAATAATTTGTTAGGGAATCTCTTGACATAAGGCAGTCGTGGAATTTAAAAAGTAACTTGTTGGATCGCATTGTTTACAAACATTGTTCTCTTCACATGTTATGCAACCGAAAGAACATGATAACGAACAATAATGACAGCCATCAAATGGAATATCATTACCATCATCGCATTCCTCATAAAGAGGGTTTATCATCTTATCTCCACAAACTGATTTGCATTAGCCTTTTATCAATGTATAAGTGTCCTCACAAAGGTTGCATGAAAGTGGTACATCGCATTTCTAACAATTTTCTGAGCATTAGTAAAGGCACTAAATACAATTAACATCAGCTGGATCATCACATAATTCGTATGATGCCACTGCCACTTTTGAATCTCCACACACTTATTAACACTTCCCCTCCTCTAGAGTCCAACCATCTAGACATTAATAACATTATGTATTTTAACACATTGTACATTCTAATTAACAACTACTCTCACAGTTATGGCACCCATCGAATTGAAGATCGTTACCATCGTCGCAAGTTTCTTATTCTAACACATTAGAATCTCCACAAACAGGTTAGCATCTACCTCTTTGCAAATCATATCCAACTGTACAATATAGGCATCTACCATATTAACAAAAAAGACAATTGGTAGGACAAGAAAACCGACAATTAAAACAGCCATCATAAGGAGTATCATTTTAATCATCGCAATCCTCATGCATGCTTACTATTCCATCTCCACATATAGGTTGACAATCATCCATTTATATATCATAATAATATCCTATTCTTGAAATGTAACCAATTCTCTAGCAATCCTTTTCTATTGTAACTATTCCCTATTTTTATTTTTCCATAAGTAAGCACTCTCCAAAAACACAATATTTACAATTTTTAGCACATGAGAATTTACAATTAAAACAACCATCATATGCTTCAGTATTTCCGTCATCGCAATCTTCCTAACCTTATATTATTAAATCACCGCATTAAGGAACACATATTTATTCATCATTTCTGAAATACCAGCCTTCTTGGCATTATACACATTTATTAAATAAAATTGTAAAACAACCTTGAAGTTGATCTATCCAATAAGCTTCTAATTTTTTATAATAAATATTAAATTCTTAAATGCTAAAATAGTCATTGTTATCATTTTAATACTAGATGTATACTAGAATATTTTTAATTTGAATATTGTAGTCAGAATTACTCACTGATACTTAATAGAAAAAATAATTATTAGTATATGTCCAACCTGGATAATTATTACCATTTGTATTTATCATCATTGCTGTTGCTTAAGAATAATGTATTAAAATGAAATAATTATTTATTTTTATTTGAACATAATTAAGCCATTATTGTTTAAAGATAAGCTTGAATTTTATAATAGTTCCATAATTACTTGGAATGGCAACAGTTCTTTCAAGCTTTAAAGAATAAGTATTAGAGACAAGTTGGTAAAAAATCACATTTTCTATTATAATAAATTTTGATACGTGAAGAGATGGGTTAGTTAGTAGAAGAATTTTAAATATTTGGTGTGATTATCCAATTATCAGCTTCTTTAGAATACAATCCTTAAAATGGAAAAAGTGCTGAAAATTGAGAACAAGCATCAACTCCATAAAGATCTGGACAGTAACTGCAAGTTGCTGGACATTCTTCGATATATATTGATATTTATTTTAATGCCCAGTCGAAAGAAATTAATTGCGATGGATTTTTTTGTGCTGATATTGTGATTACATCAATTTCATATAAATGAACAAAGGTAAACTTACAAGTTGCCGTCGGATTAGATGCGTCGTATTAAGCAAATGATAAATATTTCTTATTGCCTATCTACACAACTAAATCTAAAGCTCTATTTAGAATAATATTTATGTCTATAAAAAGCTAATTGTGTGGTGGAAACTTAAAAAATCTTTATATTATTGTGTTTTCATTTAATTTAGGAGTTTCTTAAATATTATTTGAAGCATCAATTTAATAGTTAAGATTCTCATTATTATTATTATTAACCCAATCTTTTATTAATAATGTATATACCATTCAAAGCATGATTAAATTTTTATTCATACACTATTAATTTAGTTAGCACTGTGAAAAGGAATCCTATAAATGAGAATAATTTTATCATCTATTAATTTATTTAATTATAATCTCAATAAAAATGTTTTAAATTATTCTACAATAATTATAGGCTTTTGGAATAACAAATAATGAAATCATTTCTTGGAATTACAATTGGTATCCCCTCGTTCTAGATGAGATTTCTAAAGTTAAATTCATATTCTTGCGACTTGATAAAACAAAAATCAAACTTCATTCTTGAACATAATCTAAGACTTAAGTAATTAGTTTATAAATATTAATGAATATAAGACATTTTTACCATAAATTGGGTTTAAATCAACTTTAATTATAAACTTTGAGTAATTAAAAGTTATTTCATTAAGAATATGAATAATGATAATAATTTTAGAAATTTCCTTAGATGATGGAATTTAAAATAACTGCACCCTCAATCTTTTATTGTGAGAATTATTCTTTTTTAATACAAATATTTAGTAAAGTTTATTAGTAGTTGAATTATTGTGGCTCACTTGGTTATAAATTTCTTACTTTATTTAATGACTATTATTCAAGTGTAATTTAACTGATAATAATAAAACTAATGCGTATCTATTTACTTATTTAAATACTACTCCAACTTAAAAATATCAACTAATTCTTCTTTATTTAATTCTATAACCAAATTTATATAGATTGAGCAAAGAAAAATTAGTATTAATAATTTAATACTAGAAAATAATGGGAGATTAAATAATTAATCTAACCAGTTATCTCAATTTCTTTAAGAGAATAATTTATGAAACATGTTCTTTAGAAGATTTAAACATCTTATTAAATATAATTATTATAACATTTTCACAAATTCAAAACTATTTTAATTATTTGTATTCTTCCAAACTTATAGGGAATTGACATGCTTAACCTGTTTCTCTACATTTTTGACAGCTTCTTTTCTCGAGTTTAGGTTCTGTCATCACTTTGCCATTTTATATCCATGGTTAATAGTCAGGACAACCCACCCTGTGATAATGATTGCCATGATCCATTATTGGAGATCTATCAACAGAACATGCTGAGCATAAATCTTTCTAGCAAACGTGGCATTTCACATGATTACATTTCTCATCTTTTGTTTGCATTGTACCACAAAATGGACAAACTAGAACTGGCATACCATCGATTGCTTTTAAAATCTCTTTTAACAGATTTGGACATGACTAATTCTATTAAAATATAAATTACTGCTTGATTTTCTCCGTGATATTCTTAATAGCAATAACGGCAAAGTATAGTATTACATTTCAAGCATTAAATTTACACCTATTTATATTCTGTGCTTGCTTGTATCGGTGAGTTACATTTACAGCATTTTGAAGTAACTTTTGCCAAAACTTCTCTGAGTTTTATGTTAAAAATAAGTTACTTAGGAATATTACTTCTTAGAAACTCTTAGTACTCCTTTAGTAACTTTTCGCATAAATAGCATCTAATTGTTTCTAAATTCATCTATTATTTAGCGTTATCATTTAACATATTTAACATACATGGCTTATGAGCCATTTTATTGCAGCAAGGGGTCATAATTGCTTCATCAGGTTTTTAATAATAATTTTCATAACATACTGAACACTCAGATTTCTCTCCTTCTTTCTAAATCATTTTGGTTAGTATTCTCCCTTCATTTTATGGTTTCGGATTGGTTACAACTGATTCTTTTGTAGCTATTTATTCTGTGCGAAACACATCAGTATCATCATTAGCACTTGATTGCTAGTTAGCAAGATTAAACTAAATATTTTATTGTTAATATTCTGTCCTTTAATAAGGATATTAAGAAACAAAATTATTGTTTTACTAATTCCTATTATCCCCTTATATCTAAGCTGATGTTTAAAATCCATTAGGAGTAGGAAATTGAAAATTAGGGTTAATTTAATTTGGATTATTGAATTAAAATTCTTAAGGACCCTTGGCAGAAGCACAGCTATTGAATTTGCTTTAATTAAAGGTTTGTTATGGTAAAGGAAAAAAACCCTTTGGTAGAATTTGCTATTTAAATGAAATATTGTTAGTATACTGATTTGTTTACCGAATATCATTTTGATTTGATTACTCGCCAGGATTTATATAAGTGGCTCTAGTTGTATTTGGATAATAAAATTGTGATACAATTGGAAATGATTACAACCTTGGTTGAAAATTTTTGTTAGTTGAAAATATGAGAAGTTGTTTCACATTATTATCAATACTAAATTGATAGAATAAAATTTTAAATTATAAAGGTTCTTTGCTTTAGAGTTTAGTACTTTGATATAATTTATTCTGCCAAAATTGAAGATTACAGATTTCAATTTCCAAGCTTTCTTAAATTGATTAATCAAAGGTTTTAAAGTCAAATTAATCGGGGAAAGGGTATAGGGTGTCTTTGTTCGTTATCTTCCTACAAAGCTCAGCATACAGGTGTTATTTATTGTTAATCTCAAATTGAATTTTATTCATAATATCTTAGTACAGAATTTTTAACTATAAATTTTAAGAGGATTTTATAATTTAATGTAAGAAAACTCCAAAATATATATCTAATTTAGTAGGTTCAAAATTGATTAATGGCAAGCTATTCCATTACAAAAGCTTTTATGCTAGACTGTTTTTTGTTAAGGGATTTTATATGTTTACATTTTTCAAAGCATTTTCTTTGGTATATTGCATATTTAAACAAATTAGGTCTTGATTGCTAATCATATGTTGTATTTCTATTAAAAATAATAATATGAATAAATAATACTTTTGAAATTAAATTATAAAAATTATAGAATTCTAGAATTATCAAATTCATTTATTTGATTATCAAGAAAATTTAATAGCCGTGAGTTAATAGAATAGATATGATAAAATAATCTATTTTCCTTCTTTTGACTCACAAACAATTTTTTATTGTAGGATAGTAAAAGTATATTCTAAATTTAAAGAAACTATTATTATTAATAATTTTTACTCACTAGGGATTCATCCAGATCTTTATATTTTTTTTATAGGTATTTAAATTGAAAACGAAGTTATTTATGCCGAGGATATCATTAGTAATAGGTTTAATTTTTTTAGTGGATTGGAATTTATCGATAGGTCTATTAACTATTATTTTATTTTACATAATTTTAAAAGATTTCAAAGGTTCTATAATGAAATCTAGGATAGACAGAGAAATAATCATTAAGTAGGATTAAAATTAATTTGTCAATTTCAATTGAGTAATTAAAGAAAGTTGAACTTCTCGGATAGAGTTAAAGGGATTTTTTGCTTAACTAAGTTGTCTTCTAATTTAAATCTAGAATCTAATTGAGATTTTATACCAATAAGTTTTATTTTTCTAATAGAATATCCAAATTATTCTTATTTTATCTAATTTTCTTAAACAAATAAAGGCCACAAATTTGATGTAGTTGCAAAAAGACATCCTGTTAATTTGAAATCATGCTTTTCAATAACTATCCTCTTTATCTCCTTAAAATTCTAAAGAAAAAGCTATCAATCGGATATAATTAATTGCATTCATTAATCAAATTAAAATAAATTAATTTTGAGAGTTTCTAATCTTTCTGAATCAATTTTCCTAATATATAGTTTATGTGGAATTCACTTAAACTTTTTTTTTTTACAAATGACTGATAACAAATTTAAACATAAATGATTATGATTAAGGGTTACTTCCAATAAATTTGTTTAAATAAAGTTGATAAAAATGACAGTTGAGTTCAAAGAGAATTACTTTATTTTTAAATTCATAATTGCTTTAAATTTGTACTAAAGTATTTACTTACTAGGGATATATCATATATGTTTGATTATTGCTCTATCTTCTTTATAATCTTATCTCAATTTTTTATTTGTAACCTATTTGAGCAGAACAAAATAAATTATTGATTCTGTTTTTTTCTTGTGGTAAATAATTTTTTTTCACAACATTTGTTAATTTAACAAACAAATTTTTTGAAACTCATTTTTCTAAACTAGAGGGGAGATGCATTTAGACCACATCTCTATCCAAGAACTATTAATTGAAATTAAGTTTTTTATTTCTTTATAATAATAATAAACTCAAATTTAATTAGTATATAGTTAAATATATTTATTCTCCTTTTAATATATATTCCTTAAGACTAATGGTGTTTTTCCTTAACTGTTAAGAGCGGTTAGTAAAGGTAATAATTAATATTCATCGTAATACAATTCAGCTTGGTTGAATTAAGATGTAAATGGAAAACATCCAAAATAAAAAAATAAATTAATAATAATAAATATAAAAATTTACAAGTTTTCTCAATTAATTTATTTAATATATTGACAAATATCAAATTCATCTTCCTAAAATGTATTCCTAATTAATTTAATCTAATACAAGGAGGATACATCTAACCTGAATAATTCTTTCCTTTTATTTTTAGGAGGGGTATTTTTTATAAATTATATTAAGAGTGATATTGATAGTATATTTAAAAAGAATCTATTTATTAAAGGTTTTATTGCTCTCCCTTGTGAATAATAATTTTAATTCCATAGTTCAAAAAAAATTAAGAGTCCATCAAATATAATAGTGGTACTTTGAAATAGCTAACATCTACGCATATGCCTCAAAATTAAATATCATATATTATTGATCAATACACTTATATATAGATTACTATTAGATTTAAACCTAGTTTCAACACTGAATAAGAATTGTATCACGTTTGGAATTTATATTTATTATTAATATATTGTATAGTGGTATTTTATTTTATTAATGAATAAATATAAAATTCACTTAAATAATCGATACCAATGGCTAATTCTTTAAGACTAAAATGTCTATCTTTTTAGGCACAATTTTAATTTATGGACTTGTTAAAGCACCCTAATCACTATAATAGTCCAGATTCTGTGCGTATTTGAAAAAGTTTAGAAATAACATTATCTTAAATCGAAGATGGATATACAACATTAGGATAATAATTTTCTGAAATATTATATTCATTTTACTCTATTTAATCTTACTATGTCTTATTGTTTATAATAAAGATTCTATAGATATCGTCAATCTTTACATGAACCTTCTCTTTTATCTTTAATTTTTATTTAGACAATATTTAAATAAAAGAACATGAAAGTGTAAGATTAGAATTTCTTAAAGTAGATTTCAATCATTTTAATCTTTGTTGCTAATCTAACTTAATGCTTTTGGTGGATATTTTTGGCGACAAATCTGATGTCAACTATAAATTATGAGTTATTTATATTATAGATAGTTTGCATATTGGCAAGAATATGTTAATATTACATAATTCGAAGAGGGTTAGACTATAATATATTTTTGCATGTAGTTTCTCTTTTATATTTTGTAATTTACGTAGAATCATTATTGATTTTGAATTACACTTAAACATTTTACATAGTTACCAATTGTTTGTTAATGATTATCAATTACAACACTTACTTAAAGAAGGCTAGGCAGAAATCTAGTTTAATTTGTAGATTAGGACTCCCTACGTATTTATTTATTAGAACAATATGGATGGTCGTTTGCAGTTAAAATTACTAAACACTTGAGTGCTTGACTCTCATTGGAGTTGTTTTAGTTCATTAAGGAATTAAAAACTATAAGAAATTTGGAAAATATGAAAGATTTCCATAAAATTTTTATCTTAAAACATTTAAATAGGGATAAATAATATAAAATTAATAAAATGAAGAAACACCTGCACCCGCTAAAAATTATCTCATGCATTCCTTAATAAGATCATAGAGTAAAATTACTCTTGTTTAATCTCCTAAAAAATATTTTACTATTTAATTGAAGGATCTTCCAGATGAATTAAAACTAAAACGATATTCACATTTGACAAGCTTTTCAAAATCTCAGAAAAATATTCTAAGTTAAGGGAACTCTCAGTATTAGATGCTTTAATTATACTCTAATTTGATAAATATATTTCCTTATGGTATATTGATTATTAATGAGCATTAATCAATTAATTTTATTAACAATAAATGTGAAAAAATATTAGAATGTTAAGGGATTGAGCAAGTTCTGGAAAAAGTGAAAATGTGTGTCAATACTGCAAAAATCCAAGAAAATGTAAGCGAAACATCAAATAAATAACAAAAGAAATAACATCATTACCAATTACTCTAATAAATAATAAAAAAGTTATAAATAAGCAATAATTCAGTTGATGTTTTGGACATCATTCTGTAACCATAAAAATATTTTGGAATTCTAGGACAAAATGAAAGTTAATTTTACAAAGATTTTTAGTAAGCATTTCATCAACAAATATTTATTTATGAATGGCTTATCAAATCAGAACAAACATAATAAAATTACTAAAAGAAATTGAAATTAATAATTATGCCAACATCAATGACCAATTAATAATAAGAATACATTTCAGCTTCTTCATAATTTAAATCCTCAATTAAAAGTCATATATCAAATAATTAAAGTGATTAAGAGCGTCCTGTTATGCTGATCATAATTAAGAATGTCACAAATAAATACAAATGTCAATAAATGAGAGATGAATAAATAATTCATCATAGTTTAATTAAATCATTTTCCCACGAATTAAGAACTCCATTGAATAGTTGCTATCAAATGTTGAATCTTATGAGATGCTAACAAATTTCTAAAGCTTTTTCTAATTATATTGATATTGCATAATGTTCAATAACTTTGTTAATTCATTAAATTAATGACATTTTAGATTATGCTGCACTATAATCATTTTCCTTTAATTATAATATTGCTAATTTTAAGATTAATCAAATTACTTAGGAAATAGAGGACTTATATAAACTACAGGTGTCATAAAAAAATATTGCTTTAACCATCAAAGTCTCTGATTACTTAGCAGGAAGGATCTTTCGTAATGATAAACAGAGAATAATATAGTTATTAGTAAATCTATTAAATAATGCAATCAAATTTACTCCTCAAGGAGGAAGCATTTTTTTAAGTGTGATTGAAGTTGATTAATAATACATTAATTTTTCAGTTAAAGATAATGGAATTGGGATAGATGAACATAAACTAAACAAAATTTAGAATTGCTTGCATAATACTATTGAATTTGGAGCTGTGTTGAAATCTCATTCAAAAATCAAATAGCCAGGATTAGGTTTAATCATTGCAGCAAAATTGATAGAAGGTTTGACAGAATCAAAAGAAAATAAATTAACTCTTAGCTCTAAGAAAAATAAAGGAACTATGGTATAGTTTCAAATAGAAGACTTATAATAAACCAATTTATAATCTATTTATCTTTCAAATTAATAAGGCGAGAAATTGAATAATTTGGTAAACCGATAAGAAAATAATGTTTAAAATTTAGATTAAGATAAGGTATTCAGTTTGAGTAATAAGACCTTAAAATTAGATAATGACGTAAATCTTCAAGAAGGAAAGTCAGAGTCATTTATTACATTGAGATTGAATGATTCAGAAAAATAACCTGAAATTTTTCTTCCTATCAGTCCAGAATACTTTTCAAAGAAGATTCTGGATTATCACAACAAAATTTAGAAGTAATTACCAGAAGATTACTTTCAAAATGCAGATATACTCTGTCAAAATTGTGTCCATATACTTATTGTAGATGATATTCCATTCAATTAGATAGCACTAAAAATGATACTGAGTAAATATAAAATAGAAGTTGATTAAGCATTTGATGGATTTCAAGCCATTGAAAAAGTCAAACAAAAAATGCTAAAACATTGTCAAAACTATAAATTAATTTTTATGGATATCGAAATGCCAGGAATGGATGGGTTTTAAGCAAGTTAACAAGTAAATTTTTAAGATACTAAATAGATCCTTGAATTGACCTCTAATTAGGCTTTTATTGTGATTTGTTCTGCGTATGATACTTAAGAAAATATATAATAAGGAAAAAACATTGGAATTAACACATTTCTTTAAAAGCCTGTTAAATAAGATGAATTGAATGTACTGCTTGGAACAGTATTTAAAATTGAATCTAATTCAAATTTTTACTTTTAATAGTGAAATTTTCATGAAGAATGAAATTTTATTAATATAATATAAAAAGTGAATTTTTTTCCTTATGATTATCTTAAATAATAAATGGATAATTTATCTTATAAAAAATTAAATTAATAATTGTTTGAAATAAGAATAGGGATATAAAACTTGATTTTTCGTTAAATAAACACTAAAAAATACTTTTCCAACTATCTAGGAAGGAGAATTATTTTGTTATATTTATTTGACTTCATACTGTTTGACTAATTTATTTTCTTTATCACATTAATTTAAAATCAACCGAAACATTCTAAGTGATATCTAGCTAAATAGATTAAAGAAGCAATTAATATCCACTAAGCCTGCAAGGGATGGCTCAATATAATCACCATTAATTTTAAAGCAATAATATTTTTTTTTGAAACAAAAATTCAAAATTATTTGTTTTCCCTTGAGCAACAGCTGATATAGTTAGAAATCTTAAATCAAAATAGTTTTTAAATTAATGGTAATTCAAATTATATACCATAATAGATTAAGCCAAGAGTTTGAACATAGCTCTGGAAAAATCAAAACCTTATTGTAAATAAACCTTACTCATGAATCATAATAGTTTATAAAATTATTGAATTAAGGATTAGAAAATGAAAAACAAGATATCCTTTTATTAATAAGTTCCATTAGCATGCATCAATAAAATGTTGTTACAATTGTTAAACAAAAATCGCTTAGGTTTTATTTAGATTTATCCTCTGATAATTATAATTCTTAATTAAGTTTTAAATTAGTAAAGAGGAAAACATGCAATTTCCCATATTAATATCAGAAAAATTACTTTATCAGATGAGAAATAGTAATCAACCCTACATTAGATAAAAAGATATTTTTCAACAATACAAATATTTAAAAGATTAGAATTAGATATATTGATATCGTTATAATATAAAGCTCTTATTTCTACATCTCAAATTTCACATTTAAAGGATGCAATAAATTTTATCAAAATGATTTTAGTCTTTCATCTAATATCAGTAAGTTATGTACTTTTATTATTTTTCTTAAGAGCGATGTTTGAGTTTGTTATTATGATAATATATTTCTTCATATTAACTTAAGCCTATTGAACAGTTAAAATTTCCGCCTTTCATTTATTCAAAACCTGTTTATTGAAGTTTTTCATTGGTTGATTTAAAACAAATCATTATAATCAAGAAATACAAAAGTTGTCTAAAATGGTTGGAATCTATTATATTATTGATAATTATAATATCATCAATCTTTGTTAAACATATAAGGGGAAACTTTGATCCTTTTATAATAAATTTAAAAAAATAAGGCGGTTTGGTGTATATAATAAAAATATTGTGTTGATTTTATTTACTTTATTAAATTTTTATAACCGAAAATAATTCAAAAGTTGTAGAATCTATGTTTAAATTATTCTTAAATTTTATTACATGTTTGGTTATATTTGTTTAGATGTTTGTATATTAATTAGTATGCATTTATTTGATTATTGTGTATTTATTGTTTAAGAGAATTTAAATCCACAGTCGAATGCTGGTTAAGGTTGTTGTCTTGACTTGTGTTTATGATATTGGTACCTATTAGATTTGGGTTTAAGTAGTTCTTAAATATGTTGCCTCATAGGCGTTAAATAAATTTTACACCTCTTAAAAGCCTTACAAGTAAAGTTGATATTTAGATATATCCTTAAGAGTTTTATTTACGGAGAAAAAATTCCAGATAAGTATTTTGAATTGTTTATTGAGTATGATATTGAAATGTATCATAACAAATTGAATCTTAACTTTCTTTCTTATTTTTTCTAACTTCATGCTCTTCATTCATGTATCGCCTATATCTAATTGAAGTGGGTTTTGTATAAAGCTCCTGATTTACTTCATTTGCATATAATTTTTCTAATTCTATAAAAAATTTTCTTCATCCTTTGATTCTACTTAGAAATTATTTTTCAATAAATTATTAAATTTCTAATTTGATTTGCAAGATATTAATTAATTTGAAATATTTGAGAAATTTCAAAATTTCAGAAATAGTACATTTTTAGTCGATTTTATAAGTTGGATGCACAAATTTATTATAAAAATACATCCTATTTTTGATTTTCCATTATCTTGCAAATCTGCATCTCTGTGGCATGTTGTAAATTACCTGTATAATACAATTTTTTTTATTTTTCCTGGTTTAAATTTCCGTCAAATGAAAACTGGGTTTCATTAAATATTAGATATCGTTTATAAGATTAATTACAAAAATCAGCATTTTATTAATTGATTCATTTTAAGCTAACACAACTTCAAGTAGTTCTAATTTTATAACGTTATGGTTTTATTAAGTAAAGACATTTCAAGAAGAATGTAAGGATATGTTAAATACACTCTGCTGTTAAATAAATTGGTAATAAATTTTAAAGAAACAATCAATGTATTGGTTATTTACGTTCCCTTGATACTTGAACAAAAATCAATTCATAAGCATTTAGATCTCATATTTGAAGAAATATCTCCACAAAATTAGTTATTGGAGAATTTTTATATTTTTAATATAACTCTGCTCCATTGACATCATAGCCATGAATCTTCTCCTATCATTAGATAACTCAAAATGGTCTGATAATATTCATCTACAAACCTTAATCTGAAAATAGGTATGTGTTCTCTAAATTCTTTCTTCTTCTCCCTTTTTGTGAAGGATGACACAATCTACAAAAACCTAGTTTTATTGAAATAGAATAAAGCTATTTTATCAAATATTATTTGACTTCATTGTTGAAATTCTAGATGACTTAGTTTATGATAGAATCATAAGAAAGTGATATAGTAAAATGGAAAAAAACAAAATATAAACAAATTTAAATGATTTTGGATAATTTGAATGAATTTTAAAAAATAATCATTGAAATCCAAATTAGTTTTCTAAAATATAACATCCTTTAGATTTTAATAATTATCGCAAATCTACACCTTAAGAATTTATAAATTCTCCTTTCAAGATTAAGGCTCCTTAAATTTCTAGATTAGGATTTTAAGAAATTCTAAGGATTGTAATATTTGAGGTAACTAAAGAATTGTGAAAAATAAATACTTCTTTCTGGAAGAATATTGTTTTTAAATATTGGGGATTAAAATTATGCAAGAATACTTTTGTAATTATTGTCCGAAGGTACGATTTGTTAACCTGTTTTAACATTCCATATACTGACAGTGTTATTAGAAGTACCAGATGCTAATATAGTAGAATCAGGGGAGAAACAAACTGATTGAACATAATTAGTATTACTATCTAATTTGGTTTATTATTATCCTATCTTTATTTCCCATAAACGAATCGAATTATCATGACTACCAGATGCTAAAGTAGTACCATCAGGAGAGAAAGAGACTGATTAAACATAACTAGTATGACCATCTAATTTGGCTTATTATTATCCTGTCTTAATATCCCATAAACGAATAGACCTATCATAACTACCAGATGCTAATGTAGTACCATCAGGAGAGAAACATACGGATATTACTAGTTAACTATGACCATCTAATTTGGCTTTTTATTAACCTGTCTTAACATCCCATAAACGGATTGATTTATCATGACTACCAGATGCTAATATAGTACCATCTGGATGAAAACATACTGTTTTAACATAATCTTTATGACCATCTAATATGGCTTTTTATTATCCTGTCTTAATATTCCATAATCGAATAGATTTATCATAACTACTAGATGCTAATGAAGTACCATCAGGAGAGAAACAGACTGAATAAACTGTGCTAGTATGACCATCTAATTTGGCTTTTAATTATCCTGTCTTAGCATCCCATAAACGGATGGAAGAATCTCCACCACCAAATTGACCACCACCACCAGATGCTAATGTAGCACCATCAGGAGAGAAGCTGACTGAATAAACTGCACTAGTATGACCATCTAATTTTCTTATTTATTATCCTGTCTAAACATCCCATAAACGGATAGACTTATCTTCACTGCCAGATACTATTGTGCTACCATCAGGAGAAAAAAAGATTGAATAAATATAATGAGTATGACCATCTAATTTTGCTTTTTATTATCCTGTCTTAACATCCCATAATCTAATAGAGTTATCACCACTACCAGATGCAAATGTAGCACCATTAGGAGAGAAACAGATTGTATAAACACTACCATTATGAGCATCGAATTTATTTAAATCATGTATTTGTATATTCTTCCATTTACAATTGAATAATGATGCACCATTCAAGCTCATTCCACTAATATCAACATTATCAAAAATTGATCCATTTAAATTGCATCTTACCATATTAGCACCACTTAAAGAAGTATCTCTAATCCTTATATTCTGAAAGCTTTGTTCTCTCACATCCGCCTTCATCTCTGCTAATAAATTAAGTGAATTGGATCCACATTAGATCAATCTTTCATCAATAGCTGTAAGATCAACTAGAAATTTTAGAAATTAGATTATTCTTCCATCATTTGCTATTTTTTCGATCAAATCCTTTCTAATTTAACTATAATCTTCTGTGGAGTAATTCTTTCTATTAAAATCAATTTCGCTAATATTTTTGAGAGTATTAATTAAGAGCAAAATATTATTAATTCTAGGATGTTCTAATTTTTTTACTATTTCAGAGTTTGAAAGATACCCTATACAATCTGTGATTTACTCCTTCCTTAGCAATTCAATAACCATGTTTATTAATTGTTAATCAATATTTTTTGTCTATGCCAACAATTCATATAAATCATCCTTCCAAACATTAACTTAGTCTTCCTTTTCAACGATTTGAATCCTTTATTATTAATAAATTAGTACGTAATAAATGGCATATTTTAATTCATCTCTTTATTCATCTTCTCACTAAAAGCTTTAACTTCTTGATCCCACCAATTCTTTGCCTTCTCCAATTAAACTAAATATTAATCTTTCTAAAAAATCCAATCATTTAATGTGTTCCCTTATATAATTTATACTAATTTTTCAATGTCTGAATATGAAGATTCAATTATATTATCATTTTCGTTGACAAGATTCAGGTATGAGTTATTTGTTTATTCAATGAAATCATAAAGCTAATTAATTTATTATGATAACTCATCCCAAATTCTTTTCAACATAATTTCTGTTTGAGATAGAATACATTTAAATTCTTTTCTTTATTATGCTATTTCAGATTTCTCTTAAAGCCTATATTCTTATAATTTTTTGATAACTATCTCTTGAAACCTATTAATCGGAACTGCATATTTTTGGATATCCACTCCATGTTCAAATTGGCATTCAATACACAGTTTCCGTAAGCATTTACACTTGTGAGGAGCTATGCAAATCAATTATACTTGATTTTGGATATGGTAAGTGCAATTCATGACTTTTATAAAAAAATTTTGAATTTCTATTACTTTAGTTTAAGAAGAGTAATATAAATCAAAAGTATCTTGCATATTTTTGTAAGGGTGATGAGCAGACTTTTGCAAAGGTTGGAAGTTTAATTAAAATTTGATCATTTTAAATAAGTGAGCACTTGGAGAATGCTATGAACAAATTATTAAGATTAGGAGAGATGAAGAATAGAAAAATGAAAAATGCTCATATAGTATAGAATATGTATATTAGAATTATTAGAAGCTCTCTGTCGCTGTTTAGCAGCGTCTTAAGATGAATACAAATTATGTAAAAAATTACAACGCTCTTCCAACTATATGTTAAAAAACTGAAGATTTTGTTAAATCAAAATTCCTGCTACCTTTAAAAGTTTAACAGAAATGCTCTAGCTACTATATTTTGATGTCTATAATGGAGTGCAGCCTTCATTTATTTGCGATTCATCTTGTAGCAATCTACAATTGGAGCTCAGCTTGAATGCTTATTTTTTTAATAATTCTCTTATATTTCTCTTAAAGCGCTACTTGTTCTACTTATAATTTCAAGATATAATGTCCATCGTTGATTAACCTAACACTTGTGGATGCAGTTTGTAAACTGGTAGTTAAATTTACACCAGTTTATTTGAATAGAACAACTTATGCACATTTCTCAGAATCTATAAAGTTGCTTCTAGCCTTACTTAATCTAAAAAATTAGATATATGAGTGTACAAATAATGTTCGTAAATCAAGAGCTTGATTAAAAATTGATGATGAAGATACCTTTTAAGGAACTAGATATAAAATAATTATCATTTCAATATCTAGTTCTGATGTGATGCAAGTATTTGTTTTGGCGTTACAAGTAGGTCGCCAGTCTACTCTTTTAGATCCAATTCTTGTTTTCCAAAAGTTTTTGATATAATCAGAGTATTTGAAGTTCATTCAGTATTCGCCAGAATACATTATTTCTGACAATGTTTTGAACAGCCCTGCTTCTTACATTTTGATTGTTTAATCAACTTCCAGGTAGAAGAGAGGATATCACTGATTTTAAAAGGGCTTGATGCACTCCTGACCAAATCACTGATAGGCGGGAAAAGAAACTAAATTAAATAATATTAAGAAATAACCCAACGTATCTAAAGATTACTATTGCAACAGTAAATAAAAGCAACTAAAGATTTTATGATATCAGTCTTCCTGTTATCATCAAGAAGTGCACTGGAAATACTCTTAATTGTAAATAATTTTTTGGTGGCTTTCCTGGAGCAATGCATTTGAGATCCATCCTGTAATGAAGTATCCAATTTTATACCGATTGTGATTCTAATTATGAATCTAGCAATGCATGAGCCAGTGCTTACTTATTAAACTTAGTATAAAATATGAGAAACTACTAAGTAAATTCAACGCGTTCCATTATGTAAAGTACAGCTTCCATTACAACAGTTTTTCAAGAAATTAGGTTCAACTAAATGTTGTCTTTTGGTTATATATTAGAACTAGTTCTAAAATGTGATACATATTATAATGATTCCTATAAAGATAATGATATTTCTACCGCACATTTTAATATGTTGCATTAGTTGTGCTATTATACTTATGTCTAACTTTTACTGAGGTGGAAGTTGCCAAAAAATTTACCGATTAAAAATGCAGTAGTTTGTCGTTTGTATTGTAACTATAATACTTTACGTTCTTCTGATGTAATCTCTTTCTTTTGTCTAACCTGGAGTAATAAAGCCCCAACTTTAAACGTTGTGTTGCTGGATTTATTGAGCGGGAACCTGTCTTTAAATTTAATCAAATAAATGTTCAGTTGTGTAATTTCCATTGCTATATGGTGTTTTGTTATTTTTTCAATTTGCATTTTTAGGAGTTAATGGTGTAAAAGAATGGGATTTTTGCTTCTTACTCAATTGGTTCTATTGAATAACTATCATGTATTGATAGGTAGTTCCTTGAGAAGAACTATTCAAAACATATTGAAATGCTGATGATTAAAGGAAATATTGATTCTGAGAGGATCTTAATAATCTGCATTTAATTCTTTTTGATATGAACATAAGACTTGCATTCTTTAATCTTACTGATATACCTGTTAATTTGATTCAGATTACGCTTACTTTTAATTACCAATATTTGTACCTAAAACTATTCGTAACCTTTGATGGTTTGACAATTCACTTCTTGCATTGCTACTAATGTTTGAATGCAAACACTAGATCCAAATTTATATATACAAACTCTTTTCAACATTTGCTGCATGTATTATGAAGAAATTAAAAGAAATAAATCAATACAAATTAATATCATCTCATTCATTCAGAAATAGCCTCAAAATTAAATTTGATAAATTTGTAAATATAGAGTGCTGGCTATGGCTATGCTGAGTTGTTTATATTTATAATTTTAATTTTTGTAATTTGTCCTTTTTTTAACTTGAATCTCCTAAACAGATCATACAATAATTGGGGTATCACTTAATACAAGCGCTGCTCTCACACTATTTTATGTAGTAATCTTATAATCTTGTAACTCAGCCTATTCAATATTCAATATGAATTTATAAGTACTTTTTTACCATCTACTTAAGGTTAGACTTTTGTATAAATAAATCTAAATGTAATTATTTGTTTCCAATCTACATATCTATGTAACTAGCTGTTCTGTACAATAAACCCTTGATGTATACATAGTGTATTAGTATACTACTTATAGTACTCAGTGTTCTGTATTTTAAAGCTACAAACCTTCAGCCATTCTAATTTATGTTCTTGTTCATGTTGTCTATACATAAGTCAGCTTGTTAAACTTCTTATAAAGAAGGCAATATTATAATTTTTGTTTCTTCTGAAGTCATAAGAAATATTCAGGAAGTGAAGTGCTACCTGTTTGTATTGTCTACCAGGTGAAGTATAATCAATGATCAAAGCACTTAAAATATGTTAAACACTTTTTATAGCATATTTGCATTCTGCTGATACACCTAGTAATTTAATTGCTACTCTTGATTTTAAAAATGGACATCCCACTTGGAACCACTTGTTAGTAGTAGTTGTAAAGGATGCTCTACGTCTTGTTCGTAATGTCCATCTCATAACGTTCTACCACGATCAAGCTCTTACGCTACTATCACTAATGGACACTACATCAACACTAGAGATTAAAAGCATGAATTTCAATAACCATTATTAGTTTATTGCCTTCATTATTACACCATTTGTAAATAGAAACTCCCACTGGTATTCAAGTCTACCTATCTTTTACATTAAGTTACTGAAAGTAGCGAATTTAAGATGGCATAATAGTTAATTTCGAGTTAGGTTTGCTTGTACAAATCAACTAGGGATAGTCTATGTCAAACTTTTGAAACAGGATTTTTATGTATAGTGTAGCATAAAGCTAAATTTAATATGCAAACTTTAAAGCCTGTCAATGTTTTGAAGTGCAGATGGATGGAGTGCAAGATTTGGTCTTATGCTGACCTAGAATTACATAAGGTAAACTATTTTCTGGCTGTACATTTATTTGCATTACTAATTTATGTCTCGTTCAAGCACATAGTTTTATGTCTTGAGTTTTGTAAATCTTATCTCTATGCTTACCTTATGACTAATTGATATCTGACTTGGTTAGTAAATATTTCATTAATTTTTATGCTACATTAAAAATCTGCTGATTATACTTATGCTCAACTTTAATTGTCACTAAATATAGTAATTATGTAATTCTTCTTTGAGATAATTTCCACTTATTTTGACTTTTTCTTTTTCCATTCCTTTATCCTATGAAAATCTATTTATCATCTTCACCTTGCGCACAATGTTCATGTTGTTAGTTAGCAAGCATCTTGAACATACCTG